GGATGGCCGTTTATGCTTTGATAGCCGAGGAGGGAAAGAGAGTCGGCTCCTAGCGCGAATAGGATGGGATGGAATGAAAACACGTTAAAGGTTCACGAGTCGAGGCAAGGCATGCTGGATGTGGTTGCAGCGGACGGTGAGGCTCTGCGAGGCACGTGGGTCTGTTTGGAAAGGCCAGAAGTGGTTACTCAAATGGGCGGTAGATGCGAGAGGCGGCACGCTGCGGTAACGAGACGGGAATCTGTGCCCTGCCTGAGAGATGGAGATTTTGCAGCGTTTGAGAGGGCTGGTAGGGCTAATGCCTCTTCCTTTTTGAAACTTGGGTGCGGGCTGTTTGCAGGTGAATAGCCTTGTTAGAACTTCGGGAAATTTCGTTCCCTGCTGGTGCGGGCGGGAGAAGACGGCGCTTCTGTTTGGAAAGAAGACCCATTTTGTTTGGAGGAGAGGCCGTGATCCGGCTGGTTGTGCCGTGTAGGGAGACTAGAGGCGTGAAGGAGAAGAGCGGCGCCGTCGAGGGCGCAACAGCTTCTGTCAGGAAGAGAGACGGCAAGGATCGTGCTGTAGCGCTTTAGTCAGGCTGAGGGTTCGGGCGAAGCGTTCTCTGTAATGAGGATGAACGACTGGAAGAGATAAGGTTGCTAAGGTTATTGCCAAGGGGCGGCAAATGAATTGAATCAAGATGCCGGCGTTCAAACGTAAAAGGATTATGTGTCAAATAAGTTGTTGAAGCCAAACGACGGTGAGTTTGTTTAGTGGGGGATCTTCTAGGGGAGACAAACGCCGATGTTGAGTTCGTGATGACCTGCATCTCTCATTTGAGGACGGGCCAGCAGGCGGTTGAGCGGATTCCGCGCATTTGGACTACGCAAAAAGGCTGATTGGAGGATAAGATTTTGCTATGCGGTGCTTGTTTTGCAGAGACCGGTTTGACTTGCATGTATCGGGATGACCCTGGCATCGGTTCAGGACTTGCCGACCACTTTGCAGCAATAGGCAGTTTTGTCAGCAGGCATAATCAAAGCTTGCATCTTTACCCCTTCCTCAAGGAGATGTCTTAACGAGTTTGAGAAAAGGAAAACGAGGGATTAGCTCTGCGCAAGCGTGACTACATGGTGAGCGAACCACGATGACAGTCTACTCAACGTGGAAGATCTGCGGTGGCAGATGAAAAGAAGGGGAAGGACAGCTTCAGATATGAACTGATTCTTGCGTCTTTTGCCAGGTCGACTGGGTGGGTTGTGAATGATCTCCGCCAGGGTGTTCAATGGCTGGAGGGGGATCATACCCGTGACACATGGGACGGGAGACAGAGCCAGAGGTTTGGCAATCAGCCGCGCGGCGATGGGAATCTAGCTGCGAGAGGAGGTTCAAGTCGAGACGAGGCGAGGGAATCCCAGCCAATGAGATTTCTAAGAATATTCCGGGCGGCAGTTGGAGGGCGGACGGGAGGCGGCAAGGCAAGGAGTGTATCTTGGAAACGGGGTGGTGTGCGATGCAGAGCGAGGACGTCGTTTGTGAGACGAGAGGGAGTCGACCGGGGAGGCCAGGGAAGAGGAGAGCCTAGCGAGTGCCTTTCCCGGGTGGTGAAAAGCCAAATGGCGACCGTTGTTGGGTGTGTTTAGGGTAGTGCTGCTACAACCCCAGGGCAGTTTATTAGCAGAGGGTGCTGTTTGTTCAGTGGTGTGCCAGTGGCGGTCATCACAGTAAGCAGCGACACCGCCAACCAACCTAACCAACCAGTGAACATGAACAGTGTGACAGTAAAGTGAAGCCCACCCTTTTTGTGAAATTCGAATCTTGAGTTGTGTCAGAGCACCCCTGGCGAAACAGTCTGCGACGCGGGCTCAAGCGACCAATCCAAACACACGCCCCTCTTTGTGCATGTTATCCAATATTGGGCCAATTAGAGGCCACCAAAGAGACACCCGCCAAGGGCAGGTAACGCATTCTGAATCTGGGCCTTGTCCTGTTTTGGTCGTGGTTTTGGCGGAGGAAACTGGGCGAACTGGCCACGGGACGCGCACTGCTCTGTGACGGAGGGTCTTTACTGGCAGTTGGCTCGGTCTTGGGGTGTCTCGATGTGCAACTGGGCGGTTTGGGGTGTTGTAGGGCCGCGGGGGATTATGGCCTCATTACCCACTTGTGCAGCGAGAGAGCAGCCTTGTTCCAAACGTGGCCCAAACAGCGGCGAGGCGTAAACGGCAGTGGTGAGCCCGAGAAGCCGGCTATCTGTAATGCGATGCGTGGATGGATTATAGCGACTTTGGCGCGTGTCGTGTATGTAATTGTAATAGGTGAAAGGGGATTGTGGAATTTCCGGTGGAAATATTGCCCGTATTCGGCGAGCCCTGGTCAACTTTGGAAGAGCTGGTACATTGAGGATCAAGACTGACCGATCCGAATACACCGACGTGATCGGAGAATGATTTACTGCGCACATCTTGTGATGAAGGTGGAGGGAGTTTCTCGGAATGCGCCGAGGATTTGATAGATTCATAGACTTGGCTTCGCTGAAAATTAATTAACAGTTGTTGCGGCGAGAGGTACGGATACTCCAAAGATGAAAGTGGAACACAGGGCGAAAGGCAACAGCAACGATTGGGCGTCGCAGTGGCAGATCCCAGACTGCGGCTGTCCGAATAGGCTTCTCTCGTATATTAGCTAGTGGATGTGTGGTGCCGTCCAGCCCGGTCCAACGGCCTTTTGTCCCAGGAACGGGTAGAAGGCCCCACAATAGGAGCGCAGCTCGTGGTGGGACGGGGAACATGAGTTGACGTGGTGTGTGACTGACTGCCTGAAGCCTGGCAATGTAGTATTAAGAAAGGCCCTGTGTATTCAGGGGATGGATGAAAAAGAAGAGTAAAGCCAAGCCTTGACAGTCGTCAGTCTTGGAGATGGTCAAGTGAGTTTTGTTCCTATTACTGGGCTGGACTGGTGTTGGGCCCATCTCGGTGCTGAATCTCCCCACAACCTGCCCACAATCAGAACTGCAGGCTTCCCTTACCTGAAGTAATCTAGTGTGCTGCTGCCGTTTTTGGTACTGCGCCGAACCCTCAAAATTATAGTCCAAAAAGGGATAGAACAATCAGCCACGACAGATGCACGGCAGGTGCATACCGGCAGTGACGACGGCAACATCACCGGGAAGCCTCCGTCTCTCTCTGTTCCTTCATTCCTTCCATTCCTTTTGCCAAACTGCTCTCACTGTAGTAAGGAAGGCGTCAGGTACGGATTGACTTCCATTGGCCAACAGTCTCTCCAGACCCACAAATGTAAGCGTAATCTGGTCTGGCCCCTGAGGCTCTTCGTGCTTGGCATCCCTGCCCTGGGACCATGCTCAGACGTTTTTTTTTTTTTTTTTTTTTGCTGCTCTTGCCATTCTTCCTCTGGCGAGTGCGCTGTCCGTCCGTCCCTTCCCACCAACCAACCCAATGAGGTCTGCACTCTACGTTCTATAGACGGTAGGAGCACCCGCGACACAGTAACAGTTGGCTGCATGTCATGCCCGTTCCCTTCATACTGCAGCATGCTAAGTGGTCCGTTCTTTGCTAAGACCGTTCGTTACATCGTATCCTCGCCCTCTTCATCATAGTCTTCATCATCATCGTTGTGCCCCCTTCACCATCTCCATCTCCACTTATTTTCCTAAACCACACCCTTCGCTCACCCCACCCCCACCCTTGTGTTCCCATTCACAACCAGTCCCTACCCCCGGGGTTCTTCACCCTACTGCCATCCACCTACGCTACGTCGCGCGCTGCGTGGCGCTGCGGTAGGCCTGTACCCTACGATACCTGGTCCTCGAGCCACCGTAGGCATAATGTTGCAGGCCTCTTACGTCCTCGGCTTGTCACTGCCCTGTTCCTCATTGCTGGTTCTCCTACATAACGTGGCTCCCGGTTGTGTTACTGCTGGGTGCGACTGCCTTGCTCACTAAGTAACACTACTACTATGCATCCTTCCTGCCATTAATTGCTGCCAGAAAGAATCACCCACTGTTACTTCCTACTTCCACTGACAACTGCAACACCACTGCCTCTCCCGAATACTGCGGGCACCCCACCACCCCCTTGTCTCTCACCCCTCCCCCCTTTCCCCCCCGCTCAGCCCATCCACCTCTCTCTCACACCTCTCACACCTCTCACACTCCTCATCTTCTTGTGATCGCCCACCTCCCGGACGCTCTTTTGACTCTCCTTTCCTCCCTCTTCCTTTTACTATCTCGCACACCCCTTCCACTACTGCATGTAGGGAAAAATAATTCCACGATTTCCTCAACGACCTCGAATACCAAGAACTGGCCAGCCGCCGAGTGCAGGCATTGTGTGCAGGTGAGTCTTTCTCTTCCTTACCGCCGTCCTCTTGGCGATACCTACTTCTACGCCTTCGCTTCTGCAAGTCGACTGCCGTCTTCCCCAACAACCCGTCTTCTTTTTATGTTTCCCGCACTCCCCTGCGCCATCCCTCGGACTCGCCATTCCTCGTTTCTTCCAAAAACTCTCTTCTACGCTATATCCTCCTCTCCGCCACCTGCTGTCACACTCTCTTTCCAGCTCAATTCCTCTCTTCTCTCCCTCACCCGCCTAGTGCGCGAAGCCTTCTAGTCGCTAACCCAGGCACTGTCGGATTGCAGGCTCCAAATTTCCACTCTTTTCTGGATTCGCGCGCCTCTTGGAATCAACAAACTTCTCTTCGTATACTTTCATTTAGATGCATTATTTTCTTGGCCCGTTCAGCAGGCTCTGAATCACAAGCTACCGCGTACCGAATATACCCGCGAACACTCGCAACTCGATCGATAGCTACTCGCCATTAGACAAAGCCCGAACCTAGGAGGGAAAAGGACGAAAAGGAACCGAAGGAGTTGTTGCTTGGGGATCCGAGAAAGAGTCGAGAAGAAGACCAACCCACTGCCTGGGACATTTTGGATCAGAAGGAACTCGAAAACGGGATCGACCCACGACTCGCCTGGCTAGCCACAGCCGGATTAACCGCCCACCATGGATTTTTACAGCGCGGGCTCTGAAAAGCCCTCGGAGCGTTCTAGATGGACCCCTCTTACCCGCATGCTTCTCTCTGGAGAAATGACCCAGGAGAAGCAAAAAGACCTGTCAATGAGAGAACGCTTCGACAGGTGGATGATTAACGAAGGTTACCGCAGAGTGTGCGTCTCCAACCACTGACCATCGAACCCCATGTGAAGACAGATGCTAACGATGGAACAGTTTCGTCTTTGTTTTCTTGCTCCTGCACGCACTCATCTTCGCCTTTGCCTCAGTCCACTACGGCGTCAAGGATAATTTGCAAACATCTCGCGATACTTTCGGCCCAACCTTCACCATTGCGCGTTCCGCCGCCTTGGTCCTCCACGTTGATGTCGCACTCATCCTGTTCCCCGTGTGCCGTACGCTCATCTCTCTGGCCCGTCAAACTCCTCTCAATGGTATCATTCAGTTTGACAAGAACATCACTTTCCACATCACCACCGCTTGGTCTATCGTCTTCTTCTCGTGGGTTCACACCATTGCCCACTGGAACAACTTTGCCCAGATCGCCGCCAAGAACAACCTCGGAATTTACGGATGGCTCCTTGCCAACTTCGTCTCTGGCCCTGGCTGGACTGGTTATGTCATGCTCATCGCCCTCATGGGTATGGTCTTGACATCCATCGAGAAGCCGAGACGTGCCAACTACGAGCGATTCTGGTATACTCACCACATGTTCATCATCTTCTTCTTCTTCTGGTCCTTCCACGGTGCCTTCTGCATGATTCAGCCCGACTTTGCGCCCTTCTGCGTCAGTATTGGTACTTCTGCCATCGGTGTCTTCTGGCAGTACTGGATGTACGGCGGTTTCATCTACCTTGCTGAGCGTATTGCTCGTGAGGTTCGTGGACGTCACAAGACCTATGTCTCCAAGGTCATCCAGCACCCCAGCAACGTCTGTGAAATCCAGATCAAGAAGGAGCACACCAAGACCAAGGCCGGACAGTACATCTTTTTCTGCTGCCCTGCCGTCTCTCTGTGGCAATACCACCCCTTCACCCTTACCAGTGCCCCCGAGGAGGACTACATTTCCATCCACATGCGTGTCGTTGGTGACTTCACCCGTGGTGTCTCCCAGGCTCTCGGCTGCGATTGGGACCGTAAGAAGGACGACGCTTCCAAGGTTGTTGGTGTCAACAGCGACAACAGCGAGGTTGACCCCGCCCTCCGCCGTGTCCTCCCCCGTGTCTACGTCGACGGACCCTTTGGTTCGGCCTCTGAGGACGTCTTCAAGTACGAGGTTTCCGTTCTCTGCGGTGCCGGTATTGGTGTCACGCCCTTCGCCTCTATCCTCAAGTCCATCTGGTACCGCATGAACTACCCGCAGAAGAAGACGCGCCTTAGCAAGGTCTACTTCTTCTGGATTTGCAGAGATTTCGGCTCCTTCGAGTGGTTCCGCTCTCTACTTCTCGCCATCGAGGCTCAGGACGTTGACAACCGCATCGAGATCCATACCTACCTGACGGCCAAGATCAAGGCAGACGACGCGACGAACATCATGATTAATGACGCAAATGCCGACAAGGATACCATTACCGGTCTGCGCTCTCCCACCAACTTTGGCAGACCCAACTGGGACATGATTTTCAGAGGTATTCGCAAGTTGCACGCACCCGCCGAGGCCGGTGTGTTCTTCTGTGGCCCCAAGGGATTGGGTAGCGCGCTGCATATTTACTGCAATAAGTACAGTGAACCTGGGTAAGTCCTTCTGTCTCTTCGTCCGATGTCACTTTCACCGCTAACATGACACAGCTTCTCTTTCGTCTGGGGCAAGGAGAACTTTTAAGCCAGGTCGGCACAAGGCAACAATTTCTTTTCTTTTACCTCTTGCATCATATTATTTGTCAACAATATCAGCATCGTTGCCTACCTGTCCTGTCCTGTCTCTGCTCATCTCAAGGTGTGGCGGGATAGAATGTTACGGACGCCACTTCTTTGGAATCTGATCTACTGGGATGCATATCGCGGGTGCGCCGGACGCCAGGACCAAGAAGTCGGCGGGTGTGGTGATGGATGTTGCAGCGGCACCATGACACGCCGAGGGGGAGGTCGAGGCACAATGAAGCGGTGCCTGCCAGGAGGGGAGAAGGTTGTGGGAGGGAGAGAGGACTTTTTGCATCGGTGGATGATGATAATCTTTGGCGTCATCCCCGCACCCCTGTGGATATACTATTACTACTACCGACATTTACATGTACCTAGCGATGCCATCATCAGTATACTTAGACAGTTTTGATCGATGTTGCAGGGCTCAAGGCTCTTGCGAATTACCTGGTGTTCTTTTCAATTCACATGTGTCTTGTCTGCGATGCTCTGTGCGAATACGTGCTGTAGGACCACGCAGCTGAGACGTGCCAAGAGCACGCCCTCTCGGCTCCCCCTACCTTTTGCGTGGGTGGTTTGCCACAGTTTCAACTTGCTCTGCGCAGCGGATGGGAGACGCTCGGGCGGCAGTGCAGGAGGTCAAGATTGACCGAGATAAGATGAGGCAAAGGGGAAATAAAGAAAGGGTTGCGACATGTTGTGTGGTGACGGAGGGAGGGAGGTAGGGAGGATTTGAAGACGCAGTAGGTTTGTGACACTTTTGTAAAACGCGCTGGGATCACATCGGACGACGGTGTCTGATGGGTTCGACGTTGGAGGGACCTTGGCGATCTGCTTGGCGATCGGAGAGTTGCGTGTTCAAGGTTGGAGATGGATTGGATTTGGGAGCTGGGGGGGTTTTTTGGGTTTTGGATTATTATTGGTGAATTGCTGTATTGGTGGTATGAAGTTTTTGGTTAAGGGTTGTGAGATGATGACAGAGGGAGAGAGAGAAAAGGAGAGTCAGGGTGAGGGGTTGAGGCTGATTTGGTTGTGTTCGAATCGGTCTTTAGGACAGCCAGTCTTTTTGTCTTGCTGGTGAAGTATTGCGGGCTTACTCTAGCATTGGTTGTTGACTACCTTGAAGCGGTCTACTCACTGATTCATGATGGTCATTTAAGATACTCAAGCTTAGGCGTCAGCAGAGCCGTTTTATGAGCCTTGTCAATAACTATTTGCCGGGAGGTCTTTTTGACAATCACATGCTGGATGGCTAGGTATTCTGCGCATATACAGGTTGTGTTATAGGGTTGTCTTACTACATAAGTTTACTCTGGTTATAGGGACCTACCTACCCAGTTTCTTGATGGCGTCGGGAAGTGAGCGTCATAGCAAAAGAAGACTGATCGTGGCAACCTGTTTGAGCTTTCTACAACAACTCCCAGACTTAGGTTGTATGTGTCTTGGGATGATGTTCGCGTTCGTCTCTTTCTTATAGATATGGCATTAATCAGATAGAGGCGTAGAGAGGAATGCGTTCATTGAGACCGCCGATGTAGGGTTATATCAAGAACGTTTGATGATTCAATTAAGCTCTTTGGTGCTTTTCAGTTAGCCCTGCCCAGACTGGTGAGATTGTCTTATACTAGGTATATGAGTTATGTTTTAATGGTACTAGGTTAGATGGAGGCAAACTTCTGGTATGAATGGGCACTCTTGAGGACAAGCAATGAGCCTCTGAAAAGACCCTAATCTTTTATACATAGCACATGAACTATAGAACAATCTTGGTTCTCAATATTTGTCACCATACCGTTCTTTGACAGTGACCATACCGACTGGCATATCAATTGATGTTATCGATTTCAGAGAACACGCTAGAACAGCTTTCGATCGAGGATTCCTGACAAGCTAACTAATGTATTGTCTGGCTTGTTTTTCCATGGCGTCGAGGCCAGTCTGTCACGGGCTGTAAAGTCATTGAACAGCACTGATTAGTAGTGACGAGTTGCGAGGCAGGATGCGATACACAATTATTGCTCGAAGCTTTGGCTTCAATGGACGAATACGCTTTTCTGACCATTGGTGCTTCAATAGATCATTGTATGAGAGCAGCAGAGATACCAGGGTAGGTATAGTGCAGCCGTTATCTGTTGGTTGCATCATGGCTTTGGTCCAGTGACCGAGCCCGCTAGGAGTCGACGGTTTTGATCATCACGCTAAAGCGGTAGGTTGAGACCACTCGAACTTTCACATCACCGTAATTCAAGGCGATCACTTGCATCGATACTGCTGTTACTGTGAACTATAATGCGGAGCGTATCCTCCTTCACTCTGGTGCTGATTCATTGGTGGCGGCGAATAAGACGATTGAGACCGAGAGTGAGAGAGCTAGTAGTTTGAACCGAGTCGAGCTGTTGTCACAACATGGACAAATATATGGATTACTACTTGGAATATGATCGACTAGTCTTGTACTTACCGACCTAGCCACAACATTGCCGTAAATGCAGGTTGAATCCTTGGCTGTTAAGATATAATGGCAATCTAGCGCCTTGGTTTATACCGTGCAACAGGTCCGGACACTGATCGGTTCGCGCCGGTAGACACAGAAGCATTGGAAACAATCACGGGGTTTGGTACATTGAATAGTGTAACTGCGGTGATGACTATGAGCGTTTCGCTCGTCGCAATGTCAATCGTCGAGCGGACTACGCAGACTGAGCGACATGGGCGGATGCGCATGTAAACAGCGAAGTGAACAAGTCAACAAAGCATTGGAGATTGGCGAATTGTGGTAGACACGCCGCAAAGTGCGTAAATCTTCCATCTTCATAACTTTTAGCGGGCTGAGGACGACCATCTCCCATACCCTGACGGGATCATTACCTCCAAAGTTGCATCCCCACTTCTATTGCCCTACTCTTCATGAGATTTCCAACGCATCTTATCCGGCCAAGCAAGAATGCATAACTTCATTATGTGATGCCCAGCGCAGGACCATGGTCATGGCGTTCAGGGCGGCAATGTCGGTTCCTTAGGAGTCCACAAGCCCCCCGAGAGTCCGATGAGCAGGTGGAGAGTTGATGTGGGTTCCGAGATTCAACAAGCCAACCGCATGCATGCTAATGGATGCGCGTTGAACACTTCTGAGAACAATGGCGAAGAGGATCATGGCGACTACAGCTACCGGCGCAATTTCGGGACATCTTGAATGTGTTCCAGAGTTGAACTGCCGAAGACGAATTACAGGACATCATCATCAAGGAGCAGGAGCGGACCGTTAACCAGGAGGCGCATTGCATATTCGTTCGCAGCGGTGATAGTCTGGTTTATGATGGATAATGACTCTTTTGATCATAAGAAGGCCTCCTCATCGACGATGTTCATTAAACAGATCAGCTATCGCGAAGCTTATCATCCTCAAGATACAGATGCTTCTCTCCTTTATAACATCCAATATCTGACACCGAGGCACTCAATAGCGCGGAAGGTTATAAAAACAAACCCCAAAAAAAGTACTGTATCATACCTCGTACATTATCACTTCATCGTTGGTCAGTGTGGAATACTCCATGGAGCGGAAAAGTCCCAGTTCAAACTTCACTTCGCTGTGGCTAATGAAAATTGAACCACAGCATCAACCATGGAATGCATGCCGTGAAGAAGGGCTAACAAACCTTGCTCGACTGAGTAAAGGCACAGCCTGTGGTAGCTCATCAAGGTTTCTGAACCTTACAGAAAACAATTCTGAGCATTTGTGAAGCCTGGCTTGTTAAAGGATGAGGAACCTCTTGTCCCCCATTCCACGCCACAACCATGCAAATCAGTCTATAACACGATGTGCAAAGCGCCTTAAAGCCCTTGAGAGCTTCTTCAGCCTGAAAGGTACTGGCCTTGAAGTGCTGTCTCCAAAGTCAAGCCAATATGAAGGCAAATTATCAATTAGTAACCTTTGGCAAGCGGGACGACAAGATTCCCATTTCATCACTATGTTAACCAACGGAGCAGCAACTTCAAAGAAACGAATCCTGTACGTTCAAGGGCCTTAGTTTTCAGCCTTGAGTCCATATCGGCTGCTGTTAGACCTGCTATTAGGCAGGTAAGCTCATGACCTTCTCTTGGCTCCGACTTTGTTAGCTGCAGCGATGATTACACCTACATTAGCCAAGTGGTCTGCGACACGAGTGGCGACATTTCAGGACATTTAGAAGAAGATGATCAGAAGCTAGACTGTCGTCTCCAGCGGGTCTTGGAAGTAAGCAGTAGTTGAAGCGGCCAAGGTGCAATGTCTCACGGAGCAGCACCTGCCCGGGTGCCTCGGGCACATTAGCGGCTTTCAAGAGGCCGGAAGGCCGGCTGAAAAAAAAAAATGACTTGCATCGGCAGGGATTGCATCGGCATGCGACGAGACCATGGTTAATAGCGGGAAAACGAATGTCTCACAACCGTGGACAAAGCGAGAGAATGACGACCTAATATGGGTCATGAAAAGCTTGAATTGGATCCAACGTTCCGCAATGATAGAGACGCGTGCTGAATCTGCGGAATTGAAAAAGCTGTTCTGAATGAGTGACTGGCTCACCGGTCGGTGGACGCAGTGACTATGGGCAATTTCCGCGCAACCCCGGTGTCCGAGGCCCCGAAGTGACTAATCAAGCCATCGAGACATTGTTAGCGAACAAGGTCTAGTCTGAGGTAGACCAGCTGGATGGGAGGGAGAAAGCGAATTGAGTTGGTGGCTGGCTGGCTGCGATCTTCTCGATCTGGCGAAGCGACTTCTCTGCGCTTGTTGCGGTCCAATTGAGTTCTTAAGACCACGACATGGGGGGGACGTTGAACACGTACCTGGCTGTCGAGCCACAACAGCTGCGGCTTGGGCCAGACTTTTGGGGAAATTCCTCACGCTCTTGACGTCGACGTCGATGTCGACGTGTCAGAAGGGTTGATCTACATCAGAGCATGATGTTTCTATACCGATCTGCCTTCTGACCTTCTACAATCTGCGGAGGCAGCCTCCCTAACGCCCCCCCCCTAATGTCCTAAGGGTCGCTGGTGCAGCTCGTATTTCTCAAGTCGCCCTCCTTTTTATGCCGTTGTCTGCCCAGATTGATATCACTAATGCGGTGCGTCGATCGCATTGGATGAAAGGGAGTAGTACATGCGCGGCATCCAGCCGTACTCAGCACGGCCATCTCGGGGACCTACCTTTTGGCATTTGGAACGGGTGCTTGGCGTTCGATCCCGCGATGCGGTGGTCTGCTTATGAAGCGGGCTGCAGATTTCCTGACAGCCGGATGACTTGCGCTTTGGCAGCATTGGATGGCAGAGTCTGTCGCCAGGCCCGGGGGGGCAAGCCTGGTAGCGGCACAGCGCGGAAACGAGTGTCGATTCGGCCTTTTTTTTTTTTTGCATCACTTAGTCGCGAGAATACGGGATGCTCATCGGATGAACGATATGTTGGGCCGAATTCAATGGGTCAGTTGTTCCCGGTCGCGAACCCCGATATCAAGTCGGCCATGGCCATACACTCACACACACACACACACACACACACTTGCGCCGGTAGTTCGTGTCCTTGTTTTCTTTTTTTGCGCGGCCTCGGGTTACTCAGCCATCCATCGTATGTTCCCACGCCGGCCACTTTTTTTCCCTCCCGCATGACGGGCCAAGAGTTGGCTGGGGGGCTCGTCATGAGACCCTCCTCCTTGTTCGACCCTCCCAGGGACCGATTCTCGTGTTTCCATTGCCCAATGGAATTCCGCATCGACGGGTTCTTGTTCTTCACTGTTTTTTCCATCCGCGTGTGGCCCATGGGCGATCAGACTTCTGCGCTGTTGCTGACCATTACGCATAGTCCAGCTGCTGTACCCAGAGTTACGCGCATCCTCGGGTTCCCACCAGGGTCCAAGGGTCCAAAGGTGGGCATAATCAGGGGGAATTCCACTGATTTGATGGGTAACACCATGTCTGTGAGTGCTCGTGAGTCCACAGCCAAAAAGGCACCAGACGTCACTGAGTGAGGCCAACTAAAGGGTTGGCTACCAGCCGCTCTTCATGCGGTTGTGCTCAGCACTGCCAGCGCACATCATGGCCAGGGAGGACGGGGGAGGACCCTGTTGGATGTCTTCATCAGGGCCACCACACCCAGGACTTTTTGTGCTGATGCCCTGGAGCAATTGTGTCATTGTATTTTTTTTTCCTTTTCTCAGCCAGGTTATACTATGTATGTGCCTACAGAAAGACAAGTACTTTCCCAGGTGCCAATCAAGTTGTACCAGACATAACCCTGGCACCGCAACGGAGGAGGACCATGTGTACATAGTAGGCTTTTACCCTTTTTCCCATGCGCAGGTCAACAAACACCTGCCAATTGGGAGGTTAATTCCACGCCGCCCCTCCCATCCACTCTTTTCGGCTGGTTCTTCATTAAATTGATGGCCTTTTTCATACTAGCCTCTTCGGCTTCCTCTCCAGACAGGACGCCGACAGTGGACATGGAGAACTCGTGGATTAGCAAGGGAGAGGACGCGAAAGCCAAGAGGCAGATGGGCCAAGGAGGGGGTATCCATGTTATCCATTATGGAATAAAAACCCCAAAAAAACAAATAAAACAAATAAAAAAAAAACACAATGGCAAAACGTATGCCATGGCCATAGTAGTAGAAGGAGAACAGACACCATTTGCCGCGCCACCTTGCTGGAGACACTATTACGAGTGGCTTTCCTGCTAGCACCCGTCGGCCGGCACACTAGGCCCAAGATAGTGCGCCAGATTCTGCTGCTTCGTCGTCCTTTGAGTCTGCAAATGTTAAGACTGGAGCGCGGTTTTTTTGGATTTGGGAGGGATGCGCGAGATACGTACAGCTACTAGGGCCCCGACTAGACCGTATCTGCGCTTCCCACATCCTCCGTTAGGCCCTTTTTCCTTTTTCCCCTTGTACCTCTCTAGTCTCGTTCTCGTAACCGTTATTGCATCTGCTGCTGTTCCTGTGACTATTACGAGCTTTTCCATTCCCTTGTGTTTCGTTGTGGTGGCACACACACACCCTCACTCAGTCACTCACTCACTCACACACACACACACACACACACACCTATTCCTCCTCCTCCTCCTCCTCGTCATCCTCCTCCCTAGAAGCCCTTACCTTGCTTCATTGCCTCTCATTAAAGCTTTCCAACTTCATACCCCCTCTCGCCGTTACGAACCGAGTATCTCTTTTGTAGACATCCAGGCACTGTGTTCCGTTGTATAGAGACCGCATCACAACCATGCGTCTCGGATCAGCCGGCCTCCTGGCCCTGCTATGGTCCTATGGCAGCAATATCGTGACAGCTTCACCACTTGCTGAAGCTGGCGCAGCAATGCCCGGCCTACGGCCCAGACAACAATCAGGCACAGGCGTCCAAAACCCACCCACAACGTCGACGACTCCCCCAACAACCTCTATACCGATAACGAGCGCCGCCGACGAGGCCACGACGACAATCACACAAACCGTAACCCAAGGTGGCGGCGCTGGCGGTACCGTCACCGTCACGAGCGCATCACTTCGTACAATCATCACCACTGTTGTCGTCACCACCACCACTTTCGAGACTACCACGATTACCAGCAACGATGTCGCGACAGCAACTGTGACGAACTACGTCACGTCGACCGTCCTCGCGAAGCGTAGCATCAACTTCTTCGCCGCCGAAGCAGCCCCTGTCGATGCCCCCGCCGCTCAAATCACCCCCGCTGCCGACGCCGATCTGCGCAAGTACGCTTTCATTGAGAAGCGCGCCCTCGTTACTGTGACTGTTACTGTGTCAGGCTCCGCCGGCGCCGATTCGACTGTGACCGTAACTCAAACCAGCACCGTCGTCCGAACCACGACGTCGGCGCTTGTCCAGACTTCCACCATCACGAGCGTCCAGTACAACAACGCTCAAACGACGGTAACGGTGACTTCGACTCTCATCGTCACCTCGACTTCGATCGACACTTCCTCCCCATCGACGGTCGCCTCTGGCCCGACGACAGGCGCCATCGCGACGGAGACGTCTTCATCGTCAGGCGGCTCGGGTAGTGGCGATAGTGACGGGCTTTCCACCGGTGCGAAGGCGGGAATTGGCGCGGGAGTAGGTGTTGTCGGGCTTTTGGCACTTCTCGGAGGCGCATACTGGCTCTACAAGCGCCGCAAGGCCAACCGTCCCAGCGCCGCCGACCTCGCCGATATGCGCGCCTATGACCCCAACGGCCCTTCTCCCCTGGATCACACTCACATGTCGGAGACCGGTGCAGGTCTCGGCGCTGCCGGCGCCGCGGCTCACAGGCGCCAGCCGCCGCCCAGGAAGAGCGCCCAGCTCTCCCCGCCCACGGCAAGCGTTAGCCCCATGTCGAATCAGACTGTCACGCCCGCGAACGACTACGGCTCAGGATTCGCGAGGCCGCCGGCGAACGGCGCCAATGAGCTGGGCGACACGAGGGTACTCCCTGCGGAGATGGGTGGTGACGAAGTTGTCGAGATGGGCGACGGACAGCCGAGACCGCCGCCGCCGCAGCAGCCGCAGCCCGGCAGGCAGAACATGACCTTCCAGTCCGGGCCGGTGCCTGATGTGTACGAGATGCCCACCGAGAGGTATCGGTAATGTTTCCTTTGTCAAGGGTTGAAGGGAACGGTTTCTTGTGTATATATATACAGCACACTTTTTTTTACTTTTTTTTTTTTTTTTTTTTTTTTTTTTGTTATTTTTTCCCCTTGGACATCGAAAGCGTTGCATTGAAGCTTTTGCCTTATCTGGACAGGCAAAGCTGGAGCGGGAGGGCGGATGAAGAAGAAGAAGAAGAAGAAGAAGAAGAAGAAGAGGCTGCGAGAAGCATCATAAGGGCTTTTTTTTTTATACTTAGTTTGCCCAAATTTTTCCGGTAGATAATCTTCGTAATGTGTACGAGGTTGCAGAGCAATGCGAATTGCATGACATGGAGCTTATGGCGTGTTGTTTTTCTTGTTTGTTTCCCGCGTGAAGCTGTTGTTGGTTTTAAAAAAGTTAAGCCCTGTTCGGATCGTCATCGCAGGTCATCCACAACGCCAACGGCCCGCCATGTCGGCGCCATGGATGAGTTGCGCCTCTAGTGTAGCCGGTGGGAGCTCGGCGCGTGGCTTGCAGAGGAGGGGGGTTTCATCCGCTTTTGCTTTTGCTTCCATTGTCCCGTGAGAGTTGCTGGAGATTCTTTGTAAGCATCTGCATTTCCAGCGCATGGGCTTTTCGCATTGTGCCAATTCGACACCCAACATCAATTTGGGTTGCTGGCGAGAGTGACATGACTGAGACAAGTTCCCTAGGTGTGGTATTACAGCTACAGGTGTATCCCGGGGAGGCATGTGTCGTTCGTCCCAAGTTTTGGTTTTGACGTGACAGTGATGTCCCTGATCGCCCGCAACTTTCGGGGGAGGCAAGCAATGATGTACGCTGTAGTCAATCTCGCAACTGATCGACTTGGGGGAGGGGGGAGGGGCTACATGTGTAATGCAACACTACTTAGAATACTCTGATCAAGATCTCATGGGGAGCGTTGCATGAGAGCTTCACGTGGGGGGGGGGACTATTCCGGCTATAGTCAGAAGCAGCTCCAGCGCCTCCAACAGACCCTAGCATTCCGCTATCGGGAAATATGGCGGCGTCATTATGATTTGGCCGCAAGAGACATTCCATACTCGGACGTCATGTTGTCGTGGCCCCAACTCAGTCGTTAATCAACTTTGAATGTTCCAGAAGTTCGCCTCTTTCGTCAGCAATCAAGATCTTGCTGTCACCATTGTGGGATGCCATTTGTCAGTTTCAGAGTCATATCCCAAAAAACTCCATCATCGGCGATAATTCTGCCGAATTCTAACCCAGAGGTAAGCCAAGGCTTTTGCTGTCACAGCCAACCACCCCGGACGTAACACACCCGTCAAGCCAGGTCGAGGTGCTTAAAGAATGCAAGACACCTCGATAAGCAACCACCCGTCCTAAGAGCTCCGGGCGGTGGCACCATGTCGGGTATCTCCTACGATGCGGGCGAATCGGGGGATCCATTTAACGGCGGGTGCAGGGGAAAAGGAAGAAAAAAAGAAAAAGAAAAAAAGACTACTGCGTAAGCTCAACCACACAACATCCCTGTCCGGTTTGTTTCTGTCTCTCTAGCTGCAGCTCCGAATCGTTCCAGACCCCGGAACAGGAGCTTTACTTATCTGATTTCTCATCTTGAAGAAAATACCGCCGCCGTGGAAGGGGACTGAACGAAGACAGGGCCCTAGGAAGGGGGGCGAATCCGTAGTGTTTTGAGTCTTGACTTTTGTGACTCTTGGACTTTTTCTGCGATCTCTTATTTCCCATCTAAACATTGCTGTTCCTTTGTCTCAGCAACTCATCGTTTCCTCTGAACGACAGACACTCTTGTCCTGACTCGTACAAGCGCCCTTTCTTAAGGTTGTGCTTTTTTTTTTTTTTTGTTCTCGAAGCCACTGTTTTAGGCGGGTAATAGTCAACATCGTGCCATTGTGTCTCTGCCACCCCCGGCCGACATAGGAACTGGAGGGGGAAAAGGTTGCCAACGCGCTTTAAAAAAAAATTGCTTATCGTCCGATGCGCCGCGCCTGTATGTAATATATGCACAGCACCCCGCCATCTTCAACAGTAACACCCCGCCGGCCGCTCTACCATCACAACTCCGTCTACCACTTTTGACGATCCCCACGTCACTACTCAAGGGAGTGGTGCTCATTTGAGTCATAATTCGACTCAAAAGGCCTTTAGGTTCTGACATTTTTCCCACCCCCGGAGCCTCGATTGGCCTCCTTAACCTAAGCTGCGCTCAACGTCTCCTCATAGACACTTCTTGGCTTCAAGTCTTGCCGAGGTCTTTTGCTAGGTTACCACAACTCTCAGAAACCCCCGTCGCCGATCCAGCGGCAGCACAATGGACGCCGCAAAGAAAGACCGCGTTCATGACGCCGAAGCTGGGCCCGGCGCGAGCTCCGCCGACATCGACGCCCGGGACAGGGATTCCGTCAACGACGAACTCCTCGCGTTGAAGGAAAAGCAACTTGTGCGCAAGCTCGACTTGCACCTTATCCCACTGGTCATGCTTTTGTATCTCCTGAGTTTCCTCGACCGGTATGTTTTCCTCTCTGTCTCTCTAACCTAATCCTCTTTCTGACATGCGCCACAGCGTCAACATTGGTAATGCCCGGTTGTACAACCTCGAAAGGGACCTCGGGCTGCAGGGGAACCAATTCCAGGTCGCAGTCTCGATCCTCTTCGTGACGTACATCATTTTCGAGATCCCCTCCAATCTTGTTCTCAAACTCTTCACCCCTAGCCGCTGGATCGCCTTCATTACTGTCTCATGGGGCATCATCGCCACTCTCACCGGCCTTGTGGAGTCCTACGGTTCATTGATTGCATGCCGCCTTCTCCTCGGCGCTGTCGAGGCCGGCCTCTTTCCCGGTCTCAACGTCTATCTCACCTTCTTCTACCGCAGGCACGAGCTTGCGCTGCGTGTCGGCTACCTCTTCGTCAGTGCTGCCATTGCCGGCGGTCTCGGCGGTCTGTTGGCGTATGGCATTGGGCACATGGAGGGCGTCGCGGGGATGAGCGGCTGGCGTTGGATCATGATCATCGAGGGCCTGCCGACGGTCGTGCTCGGTATCGTGACCTATTTCTTGCTGCCCAATGATGCTGGCAGCGCGTATTTCCTCAATGAGGAGGAGAAGGCGCTGATGGTTGCGAGGCGAGGACGGGAATACGGCAACACGACCAGCGCGCAGGAGTTTAGTCGCGAGGACATGTGGAAGGCGTTCAAGGACTGGAAGGTCTGGGTGTTTTGCATTGCGCTGTTTGGCGCGGATACGATGCTTTACGGTGAGTTTTTGTTCCCCTTCTGATTTACTTGTAGAGTGGTGACTGATGATTTCCAGGTTTCTCGACCTTTCTCCCGACCATCATCAACGGCCTTGGATCATGGTCGACCGCCGAGGTGCAGCTTCTTACTGTGCCCTGTTACTTCCTCGGCGCCGTGGTGTACATGTCCATGGCTTTTCTCTCGGACCGGATGCAGCGTCGCGGCATATTCTGCGTCATCTTTGGCAGCATCAGCGTCATTGGCTACGGCGTGCTCATCTCCAATACGTCGTCAGGTGTGCATTACTTTGGGTGTTTCCTCGTGGCCGCGGGACTTTATGTTGTCGTCGGGCTGCCGTTGGCATGGGTGAGTTAAACTTCAACTTGTGTAAAGGGCGTGACGTTGTGCTAACATGAGTTTACAGTTGCCGAATAATACCCCGCGCTATGGTAAGAGAACAACTGCTAGCGGTATGCAATTGTCGATCGGAAACTGTGCCGGAGTCATGTCATCATTCATATAGTGAGTCTGCTTCTAGTTATGTTGCCTTTAGGCAAAAACTGACAGAGAAATAGTCAAGCAGTTGATAAACCAAGATACATCCGCGGCCACGCGGTGACACTGAGCATGGTCGGAATGGCCACCTGCTTGTACGGCTTCCTGTGGTTCTGGTACTCGAGGGCGAACAAGCAGCGTGAAGCTGGCCAGCTCGAGGATAAGTACCGCGACCTGTCAGACGATGAGCTTGCGGAGCTAGGCGATGAGAGCCCGCGCTTCAAATACACTTATTGAGTTAAATAGAGGAAGAGACCTCACGAAGGAGGCCGGGGCGAGATTAGATAGAAGAGATACCGGGCCTATCAAACGAAAATAATATACCCCTCAAGAACGAGACTGACTTTCCACGTTTCCTAGCCATGATATGTATGAGCCTTTGGTATAAAAACATGTTTCCATAGCTCTCTCCTTGTGCAAAAGCCGTACCTAACGTGATATTACGTCTGTCTATTGGATACGACAAAAAATGCAAAATGAGAGGGACGAGACTCGAACTCGCGCGGGTTGCCCCACCAGGAAACAGATGTTAAGCTGACCTTAACCTGGCGCCATAACCAACTCGGCCACCCTCCCGTGATGATCCGATGGATCTGATTGGTTGTTGGAACGGGCTCACAATCCCAATTATCAACCTTGCCTGCGAGTGGAGATGAGCCCGTAGTTCACTCCGCTGTGGGGTTGTCCTGTTGTTGTTCCAGACGGTTGAATATCGTATGCTCGCGACCAGTAGCACGAGTACTTTTCATTGCTCGTTTGAGTTGTTTAGAGATTTAAAGTGCGTATGCCAAATCTTCGTGTAACGTTTTCGTCGAAGCATCATTTAGGCTCGGACCCTGTATGACATTTAAACGCAGCAGTTCTTCCTCGCAAAAATAACACACTTTACTGTTCTCAATTCGCTAATTAACCTTAACTACGTGATTTTCACAATGGGTTCGCTATCGTACTCGTTTTCGTAAGCTGAGTAAGGTAGTGAAATGATACTCCAAAGCGATAAGAGTTATCTGGGTCAACCATATCAAGACCTTGTTAGCATCCTCAAAGGCAGAACTGATCAGTGTAAGGAGTTTACCTCGAGCTTAATCATCAACTGTCTTTGGATAGTCTTCCCGCCCAAAACACCACATTTGTAGATGCGCCGCAAATCAGCCATGACGCTGCTTTAACTGCAGAGCCACACCTCTTCCGTATCCTCAACCACCCTATATTGTAAGAGTCACGGCTCATAGAGTCGGGTATAAAGCCGATGGTTTGACTTTCGCTTTAATTTGTTTGAGTTTTCCAACGGCCTATAAAGATATCTATTTGACCTTATTTATCTGACTCTCTTAAAGTAGGTTACAGGTTGCCCTGTTGCCTCAGAGGTTTTGTTACTTTAATTACCCACTAAGCCATTCACTCGAATGCGAGTGCCAAATATTGCACTGTTTGGACAAATAGTTTCCTTTGTTCAAAGGATCGAGGAGCGTGTCACTTGCCTGTAGCCTAGATAAAATACTGCTAACCAAAGGCCGTATTCTGGCTGCAGTAGGATTCCTCACAGATATCCGCTCCCAGCAATCGAGTTGGCTCTCCCCCCAGATCTGGGAACCATCTTCAACAGCAACTCTGACCTACGGGGCATATGAAATGCCAGCGATGGTGTTAGATCCGCTGAACCGAGTCAATTTGACTTCACCTGCGCCAAGCTAAGAAAACTTCGCCTTGGCAACGATGCGGGCCAGTGGGCTTAGTCAATGTGACTCTACATGAGCTCGACTGGTCATGTTCGGAGAAGCGGCGGCCGATCTCTCGGTTTTGCGAATCCCGAGAACTTGTTCCTTTTCGACGTCGAGTTGCGACTTAAATGCTCTACCTGGGGTTCCGACGGAGAGAAAGCCGACGGAAAAGGCAGCCAAGACAACTTATCCTAGCGCACTCGCCTAAACCCTGTCAACCAAACAGTAACGACTGGTTATTTCAACATCGTATGTCGTGTTGCAGCTTGATTTTTGTCTCCGCCTGCGCATCGCCAAGTGCCAAGTGCCCAAAGCCGAAAGAACTATTTGAGGGGTAATCTGGGGATCCCATGGGACTAGTGGAGAACTCCGCCGGGTGAAAGTTGTGAGAGCATATAGTTAAAAGGAGACAACATGTCAGAGCTTGGTTTCTTATGTTGAAAGATATGTTTCTATTCGTTTCTAGCATCTACACAAGACATTGAAGCCTTCGGACTTAATATGACGACCAACATGTCTGCCAACGCTGGCGGCACTCCCGCTGGAGTTATTGACGGCAGCTCAATTCACCGTGTTGATACCGCCAATGACGACATTCAGAAGATTCCTAACATGGAGAAGGTGGACGAGTTTGGCGCTCATGCCAAGACTGACCCTAAAGAAATTGCCCTTGTCAAGAAGCTGGACGCGTTCATCATTGTATGGAAGATCACAGTCGTACCAGAGGGAGTGCGCTAACGCATGACAGCCTATTCTCTGGTTGATGTACCTCTTCAACTTTCTCGATCGAAATGCCATCATCAATGCCAGGTTAAACACACTGGAAGCCGACCTTGGCCTGGTCGGGACCCAGTACAACACTTGTGTCTCCATCTTATTCGTAGGGTAAGATTTCTTCTTTCAGAAACAGTGCTGCCAGAAATCTAATGCGTGTTGTAGATATATCTGCGGCCAGATTCCGTCCAACATGATTTTGAACAGGGTACGGCCTTCCTGGTACATGGCTGGTAAGACGCTTTCCCTTCTGCTGAACAATTGGCCATCGCCGCGATCGGGAGATAGGATTGTCGTTATCCCATGGAACCCATTCTAACTTCTTCAGGCTTTTGCCTCGCATGGTCTATTGTCAGTCTCTTGACGTTCAAAGTCAACAGTTATGAGGGAATGATTGCGTGTCGCTTCTTCCTTGGTATCACCGAAGCACCGGTAATTTGGCCCTAGAAAAGGAGGTTCTCTTGATTCCTGCCGCTAAATGATATCATAGTTCTACCCAGGCGCACTATATATCATCAGCATGTTTTACACCAGAAAGGAGGTCGCGACTCGCATGTCCCTTTTCTATACCGGAAACATGCTGGCAAGTTCGTTCTCTGGACTCATCGCCGCGGGTATCTTCGCAGGGCTTGACGGGACTATGGGCTTGGCTGGATGGCAATGGTAAATATGCTTGAGAATTCTAACTCCAATAGTTGAAAGGCTAATACTTGCCCAGGCTTTTCATTGTCCAGGGAGCAGTATCAATCGGAGTTGCGTTTGCGGCATTCTTCCTTCTCCCTGACCATCCGTTAACCACGCGCTGGTTGACGCCCCAGCAAAGACAACTGGCACACAACCGCATCTACATCGATACGACTGATCGCCGTGAGGCAACTAGTGTATGGGTCGGCCTTCGTGACGCTTGTCTCGACTGGCGCACCTGGGCATTCTGCCTCATGTACCATCTTCACCTCGCAGCGAACGGCTTCCAAAACTTCCTGCCAACAGTCATGCAAACCCTGGACTACAACACAACTGTCACCCTCGCTTTGACTTGCCCACCGTATATCCTGGCTGCTTTAGTCGGCATCTTGGTTTCTTGGACTTCCGGCCGATACAACGAGCGGACGCTGCATATCACGATCATGAAGGCTATTGTCATCGGTGGTTTCGTAGTGGCGGTTGCCACCCTCAATATTGCTGCACGGCTGGTGGGTATCGTGTTCTTCGTTGGCGCCACGTTTGGAATCAACAACATTATCCTCGGCTGGGCATCTAGCACGTTGGGACAGACGGATGAGAAGAAAGCCGTGGCAATCGCCATGTGTAATACCCTTGGCAGTGTCGCCAGCATTTACACACCTTACCTTTGGCCCAGCACAGACTCACCTCGCTACCTGACGGCATGGATGGCAAGCATCGCCTTTTCGGTTGGAGTAATCATTATCGCTTGGTGGCTGCGCATCTCCCTGCAAAGAAAAAACAAGAAGACAAGGGAGAATCACCCAGAAGAGACAAACTTTTACGTATATTAGTGGTGCCATCGAATGTCGAAAGAATAAAATGAGGCTGATTCCACAGATTCTGAGCTCGGACTTGTAACCAACCATAGAGCTCAATGAAAAGATACTGTCTATTGAAACTTACTTATGCGAATGAAAAGTCGATATTGACTTGATGACGAGATGAAAACTTCTCAATTATTGTGTGTGTTGATCAAGGTTCCCATGAATCTTGTAACAGAAAACCAGGGAATTCTCTGGAATCTCTAGGAGAGAGCAACTAGATTTATGGCTTGCATGCGTCGTATTAAACTCTGAATTTTGACAGCTGATTCAAGCTTTACGAAGACTTAACTTTCTTTCGGCCCATAAGGGAACTTTGAAATGTTTTCCAAAGTCAGAACCTCTACGGATTTATCCTGGTTGCATTTGCACGATGGGGACGTAGATGAGCCTTTGAATAGAAGCTCAGGTACTCCTTCCTTTCGGCCGAAAAGGTGCCTCTTGAGCCTATTACACTAGGTGTTGAGAGATTTATCTGCCACCATCTGAATGTTTGGGTACTTCACCGGCGTCAATGCTTGGTTTGGGTCATCTACCTTTTGTTCAAGGCGTCATAGAAACCATGACGGTCTCTCCATACAACTGTCCACGTATCCTCACCTATCTCAATGAGAATGACTTAATTCAGTGCAAAGCATGTTCTTCCATCTGCCTTATGAGAAGTTGTCTATTTAAGTCGAGGCCTTCTCCCATGTCTAGCCTAGAAGATTCAATCACTCTCAAACCCTGCCTAGATCTTTACCCATCTCTCATCGGTGGTGCGTTAATACATTCGTTGTCTCGTCAAAGTATGTAAGTCAAGCCCATCAATCAATCTCGCCACAGTCTAACTTTTTGCAAAGCTGGAATAAGTCCTCAACCTGAGCAAAAATGCCTTTTTTATTGATAAGTTTTGCTACCGTTCTAGCCATTATTGGCACCTTTGGAATAGGTGCTATTGTGGGAAGAAAAACTGCAGCAGGTGAACAAGGAGGAATAGGGGGCCGGGTGAGATTTGAAGAAAACTCCGGAGATGGGGGGACGGACATAAAACAAAATGTCGAAGGGGTTGCTCTTTCAGCAGGAGTTGGGTTACTAGCTCTTGTGGAACAGACGTTCGACAACCGCGTCCTTTACAACACTTGGACCGACGATAAGGGCACATTCTCAACCTGGGGACCGGATCCCATCCATGTCAACATTACAGAGACCCCCACCAACGACCAGGCCTTGGATGTCGACAAGATGGCAAAATGCTCGTTTGACGTTGAAAAACATGAATGCAGCAGAGACAATGCTGGACACGCATCCGTCTGCAAGGCTCTTGTTGAATCTTTCAGTGGAAGCCAGGCCAACAATTGGGTTGAAGCGACGGTTCAGGACTCTTGCCTCCAGAACCAGGAAGGCAAGTGTTGTGTCAGCTGGCGAACTCAAGCCATCAAGGACGTCAAGTACGAAGAGTTTGCAGCCCCTGCCAAGAATTTGCTTGAGCAATGCACGGACGAACAGAACGCTTCCGGACGGCTTTTTGATTCCTCGATCGGATCGCAGTGCACATTTGTCTGCATGTCCAACAGTCCCAATGGCTGCTAAAACATAAGCAAGCATAGCAGATCGTTGCTTACTCCTCCTGGATAACGAAAGGCAATGGGCATCACGGAGTGGCAAGAAAGGGAGATGTGAACAGAGTGGCAGTGGAAGTAGCCAGGCCATGTTTTTGCTGTTTTTATAACTTCAACCTGGATACGAGACGTTGGGTATTTCTGATGTGCTATGACTCTAGCACTACTGTGGCATCAGTTTTGCGGCAGAAATAGTGGGCATTTGTATTTCCCTTCTATCTATATGTCTAATCGCGTGTTTTGGGTTTCGAGTAATCTTTTCCTTGGGCAAGGCTATCTCTCTAGAAGCATCAGCCTACCGTTACATTCTCTTAGTTTAGACCCAATTTAAGCAAAGCTTCAAACTAGTCGAAGGGTGATTCACACGTCTCATCAAGTATGAGTTGGGAATGATCACGGATCAGGCAGTCTCGTAAGTAGACATTGTGGTTTTAAAAGTCTTATTTGTTGGGAATATTAGGAAACAACTTGAGCGATCGCCTCGAGACACCCTGCCTACGCAGACGTACTCAACAGAAACCTAAAATATATTTCTACAAGCCTATTACAGTGAAAGACGGTTTTTTTGAAACTGAAAAGAACTACGAAATGAGCTTCGTGACTAAGGAGGGCAAGAAAACAGTGTATGCTTCATGTCACGGCCACGGTCCTGTTATCGTCTTGAGGTTTGGTTCCGAATTTCCCTACGTCGACATGCGCTGTTTTTATTTTTATTTTTGTTACTGATAGATGTGTATGACTTGAAGCAATATGTTCATCATTCAACGGTTTTCTCTACTTAAGCTGTCGAAGCAATGGTTTGGAGTCAGCCAATGGCAACTGATGGATGCATCTTGCTGTAATAGGCAATGAGGTTGGTAATTGGTTGGCTATATCTTGTGCCCCTGTCTACCTAGTGTCAGGGCCAGGCAGCAGTTGGCAAGGACTCAACATGCGGAGTTAATCGGACCATTTGTTGTCACCTCGACTCGCTTAGTTCATACGGCTTCCTGGCCATGACCAACACCTGAATACAAGATCTGATCGCCGTCGTCAGCCAATAAACGTCAGAATGTTGTGCTCTGCTTGCCAGGAAAAGCTCAGTTTGATAACGTCACTTCGGATGACCGACTTTCCATCCCACCACCGAACTTATCAAAGCCTGGTATGGTCCGTCAACGCCGGATGCTATATTTGTAATCGAATCTGGGGTTTGCTATCTTCTGAGGAAAGGCATTTTGTTTCCGTCCAATCTCAAAAATCAGATCTTGACAACTCAAGCAAAGGCACCAGCGAGGCAACGACTCTAGGAAGTGCCGATAACGCGATCACCTCTATCCGCATAATACCTGACGAGAGCTCCGAAGGGTCCTATTCAATTGTGATAGTATTCAAATTGAGGAATGCATCCTCTTCAAGGGTCCCCACGGCGAGGAGACGCTGGACTCAATTAAAAGTGCAACCCTACAGAGGTAAGATGAATGGTACATCATACACACAGGAATGAGCAACTGCCGCTATTACTTTTAGCAATAAATTGCATATGAATCTTGTAGACCCCTGACTGTGGTATAGATCGAACTCCAAGCATACCAACGACGGTACATTCCCGAAGCACGTCCTCGGAAGAGACCCTATCTCTCGCGAAATCTTGGGTGCGAGATTGTGTGGCAAATCATGAAGCATGTAACGCGAACTATGCAGACCAAAAGTGGTATCCGACACGTCTTGTTGATTTCGGGCCTGTGGAAAACGCATCTATCTCTTGCCGTATCCTGAACACTAAGGAGAATATCCCCGACGGTCCTTATAGGACGCTTAGCCACTGCTGGGGGCTCGCAGACTGCCTTTGTCTGACCATGAGTAATTACGACGAGTTACACGCTGGAATTCCCCTAGAAAGCGTCCCGCGGCTGTACCACGATGCGGGGCTCGTCGCCAGAAGACTCGGTATTCGGTATCTATGGATAGATTCTCTTTGCATCATTCAGAAAGGCGATGAAATGGACGACTGGCGCCACGAGTCAACCCTCATGGACAAGGTGTATTCCCGCGCCTTCTGCAACATCTCCGCCATGTCTGCTCCCGATGGCAACCACTCGTTGTTTAACGACCGCGATCCCGATTTCCACCAACCCCAAATCGTTGACTTACAAACCGGAGACTCCACGATTCCATACCTGGTCATAGACGAGGCGTTCTGGGACAGCGAGGTCTCGCAAGCGCCCATCAACAAAAGAGGCTGGGTGCTACAAGAAGTGCTTCTCTCTCGACGCATATTATACTTTGGTGAGAGCCAGATCCTTTGGGACTGTCGGTCCCATCGCGCGGCTGAGATATGGCCCCCGGATGCTCCTCTCGACGACCTCACCAAAAGAGGCCACGTCAAAGATCTTGGCCTCGGCTGTGGTGTCAGTCATGGCTCTAGCGATAGCCGCAATGCGCACCTCTGCTGGGACGATATCGTTTACGACTATACCCGTTGCGACATCACCTTTGCTGGCGACAAAATGGTCGCTCTTTCTGCGGTCGCGAAGGAGATGGCATTGGTATTTGGGGATGAGTACGTGGCGGGGATGTGGCGCCGGTACTTGGAATCTGGGCTCCTCTGGCACGTATGCGAAAATCGGACCGCTCCGAGTCCGCGAGCCGCGGTCTATCGCGCTCCGAGTTGGTCGTGGGCGGCGGCAGATGATGCGGTATTCCCGGGCCGACCGTTCGAGAAGGGGGCCTCAGAGATTCTCATAGAGGTGGAGGACTATCACCTCGACTACACCACGAAGGACAGAACCGGGCTGGTTTCCGGAGGATGGCTGCGCCTGTGGGGCGTGCTGAAGCCGATCAAGCTCGTGCCTCATACTGTAGCGACAAGACCGAATGACGTCCAGTGGGAAGTACTCGTCGATGGAGCAAGTAACATTGTTGGGACTTCGGTGCATTTCGTGGGACTAGACGACTTTCACGCCAACTTTGACGATGAGAATGCCGAGTCGGCGTTGTTTTGTATGCCAGCTAAGCTGCTTACTGGCCTGAATGACTTTCTCTACATTCTGTTGCTCGAGTTGCTGGATAAAGAAAGAGGCATATTTCGCCGCATTGGGCTTGCTCGGGGGTTTTCTGGGGAAGCGAAGAACCGTGTTTTGGCGCGCAGTGCGGAAGAGAGCAAGCTTCCTTGCGAAGAGTATCGTGGCGGAAGACACTTGATACGAGTTATATAAGACGAATCCGCAAGAAATTACTACAAGCAGCAACCCTTCAAACAGAATTCCCCACCATTCCATATTTTTACGGTCTTCTAAAGTAGACTGCGACCTTGGATGACATAGCTTCTTCATTGACTAATCCATCAGCATAAGACCGAGGTTCTCTGGATACATGGCTAGGTGCTCGTTGCAACATGATGCCATTTTTTGCAACGCACCGCCCCAAAACGCCATAGCCAAGGGCAGATAATAAATCTCTATCCATCAACACCGCCGACCAATTCCTCAACCACTACTCTCGAGCACCCTCCAAATCATCTGCCGATGCTTTACATGCGCGCCGATACTCAACCGCGCACCCGTCTTCAGTAAGACCTCGCACGGCAACGCGTTCTCCTCACCAATCCTCACCGTCCTCCTCCAGCCGTCGTTCCGTCTCCACTCCCACCTCTCCGCCGTAACCTCATCCCCTACCCTCGAGATACCCTGGCAGAACTGACCAAGCCAGACAACCATACCCCGGGCCTTGTTCGCGTCGTCCTCGAACTCGAGAACCACGCACTCCGGACCCTTGGACGCATCGTCGGAGCCTCGGCCGCCGGCGCGCTCCGGCTCAACATCCCGCCAGAGTTCCTCGTAGTCGCACTCCTTCCCCGTGGCCGGGTTCACCATGCGCCCCTTTTCGAGCGTGAGGTCGCCTTCCTGGGGGTACATGTCGCCTTCGTCACCCGCCTTCTCGGGTTCCGTCGTGCGAGAGTCGATCCAGTGCTCCCACCGCGAATGACGGATCTCGCCGCCTTTGCCGTCGGGGATGAGAGATGAAGATGAGGTGCCAGCGATGCCCCACTCCAAGCCATCAGTGTAATGTTCTGTCATGCAGCGTCAGTCATGCGTTGTCCAACTACACTAATCTCTCTCTCTCTCTCTCTCTCTCTCTCTCTCTTTTTTTTTTTTTTTTTTTTTTTGGCTCTTTTAATTATGGAATTGTAAAGCCTCATCATGTGCAGTTCCGGGGAGACGGTTGTGACTTGACTCACCCTTGGCGGCGCCCTCCGTAGTCGGCCCGGATTTCAAGATGCGGAGATCGACGAACCGGCGCTGCGGGGACGTGAGCACTATCGTGGACGTCGGCTCGCTCGCCTCGTCGGGCACCCAGCGGATGTGTTCGCGGAACGAGACGCTGCCCATGATAACCTGATCTGGTTTCTACTAGGCCGGGCCGGCAATAAGGTTTCAGCGAAACGTGGATGGTGGCTTTCTCGGCGGGTTTAGTGAGGAGGTGAGAGCGTGTGGGGGGTTTAAAGTGAGTGTGTGAGTGTGAGAGGCGTTTAAGTCTTCCTGCACCGTGTGGCAGGAGTCAAACGTTGCACAAGGTGATCCACAATAAATTGGTTACACCCTCATGCCGTCATAATCCAACCGGATACCTCCCACCCCTTGTTGTCTACGTTTTCTACGCTTCGACGAACCGCAAAAAAACGTGCCTTTATTACCGTTGTGCTCTATGCGAGGTCTATGTCTAAGTCTATGTGTAATTGCCTTGTCTATCCCAACTCCCCAGTTCCCAGCAAAAATAATTGGGGTTGACTCGGTCACCTCATGTGGCTTTCTCAAGTCGCTCTACAACTTCGACGAGCTCCTTCACCTTCTCCTCGCACTCTTGCTTACTGCGCTCTTGCGCCTCGTAAGTTTCGCGCAATCTGTCGACCATGAACGGCTTGAGTGGCGTGCGCTTGGCGGTCTTGTAGTCGTAGACGACGATGTCCTCGAAGCAGCGGGCCGCGGGCCGGCGGTGACGGTCGGAGATGAGCAGAGCTTCGAGAAGGACGTAGTCTGACTCGTAGGTTGGTTTGGACACGAGTTTGTGGAGGACTGTGACATGGTCTGGGTAGGCCATGGGCTGGGTGTGTTAACCCTAGAGGATAAAAGGACGAAACCAGACGGAACAATTTCACGAGGGGGACACTGAAGGGAGATGGATCGTGAACAGATATGGAAAAGAGCAGACTTACAAACTTGTAGTCGGTCTTGATGCTTCTCATAATCAGGCCAATGTCCCGGGGCGTCATAAGATTGGCCCACTCGTCCGCGTGCTCCGGGTCCACGGTCGTCGCGAAGTTGCGGAGCCAGTTCACCCGCGCCGACTCAGCGTACTTGTTATACACGACGTTGTTGACGTGACCTGTTTCTGTTAGATAATGTCCCGAGTATAAGGCACGTGCGGCGAGGTGTAAGTCGTACCCTGCAGCGTGTTAGTGAGTTCTCATATGAGGTAGCCATCGTCATTCACTCACCATTGCGTCCTGTTACAATGTCGTTAGCAATTCACTTTATTTCAGCTCATCTCAAAGAGCAAACATGGCTGAAAACATACCTGATCTCCCCATGTCACAGTGTGCTTGTCCAGGCCCCTCCACCCTGGACCTGTGAGGAAGCCTTCACGGCCGGCGAGCAGCTCAAGCCACTGGCCATTGACGGCCGTCTGAAGCGCCTTCAGCTCCTGCGCCTGCTCGCCCTGCAGATTGAGGCTTGCGCAATGCTTGATGCGCGCCTGCAGCTCTGAAAGCCACCTCGGGTTAAACTGCGCGGCCTCATTGCCGTTGCCGTTCGTGGACGCAGCGCGATACGGCGCGGTGGTACCGAATGAACGGCTGCAAGCCGGGGCCTGCGAGACCCGGGAAAGAGGGCTACGGAGGGCGGAGATGACGCTGCGCATTGTAGAACGTCACAACTGTAATATGATAAATAAATGAGAATAACTATATCAAAAAAAAAAGCGAGAAAAAAAAAACGAGGTGTGAAGAATTTGACGATGCCGGTGAAAGTGGATGATGGAACAATGAGGAAACTCGGTTTCCGTCGGCTGCGAACCGCGAGGACGAGTGGGAACGCAATTCCCAGTCATCGGCGCTGCCTTGTTCGGTAGTTTGGTTGGTGCGCCCTGTGGGATGGTAGGGCGTGGGGGCATGGTGCTGGAGGGGCTAGTGGATGGCTGAATCAGATATAGGTGTGCGTTTCGCTGCTTCAGTCATCCACCAAGCGAGGCTTAGCCTCGTTACTCCCCTTGGTGTAGTTGGTTCATCACGTTCGACTGTAATGGTTTATCCACATTCATCGAAAGGTCTCTAGTTCGATTCTGGAAGGGGAGAACTACTCTTTTTAATTTTTTTTAGCTTTGTGCCCAGCAAGACTTCTTACTGAGGATATCATGTGTTAAATTTTTGCGTGCATGCATAGAAAAGAAGCATATCGATGTCGATATACTATTATTTGTTTTGATGTGAATTATACTTTGCATCTAATCATATGCTGTCATGCGCATTTATGAGATGCCGTTCAAAGACGCATGGCTGCTTTTGCTCCAAAAGGAAGCCATCACACCCTGCCCCGACCGCAGCAAATACCGCCCCTCACCAGGTTGAAGAATTCTCGGTGTGCAGCCCCTCCCTCACCTCTTTCACCCCAACGGCTTGCTGCCCGTTCGGTCAAAAGGCCACCGGATGCTTGTCTTGTGGAAACGGGTGTGCGGGGGCCGCCGCCGCCTCGCCTGGCCCTGAGAGCTGCGAGCTGGTCATAGCTCCCAGTGACCCACCTTCCGGATCTGGGAGGACTAGGTGGAAGGGTAGGAGCTACTACGACTAGCAAAGCTACCGCGCGACGCACATTCTCTTTTGACTGCGGTCCCAGGGGAAGTTAACGCACGCGTCGTTGCCGTAAAACTCTGCCATGTTGCTTCCCCAATGTTGCTACGTCGCTTTCTGGTGATTTCAGAGTAAAGAAAGGGCTTTAATTAACGTTGAAGCTGTTTTTTCTGCATTTACAACTTGTTGAAAAAGTTTATCGGCCAAGAAAGTGGCGGTAACTTCTGCCGTGAGGGTTGGGCACGCGTGGGCTGACTGTCGGACACCAAAACAAATCTTAGCCGGAGACTTACCGACGCCATATTTGCGACACCACATGTGGTTTAAATTGATTATTCTATTTTCTCTTCATCAGTAGAGTCTAAAAGAGATGGAACTGTCGCCTTGAGAACCCCGCTTTTCTTGAAAGAGACGTTTAGTCAAAAGGGAGGCAGTCAATGGCGGTGGGGTTTGTCCTCGTTCCTGCCCGAGTTTCCCCGCGTCGTCGGCGGTCCGCGTTCAAGAAGCCAGCCAGGCAGCCGACTTTTTAACACAACGAGGCCAACTTCTTCCTAGCATAATGCACTTTACTTTTCATATCATGAAGTAGACCTTGAGGCGACTGCCAGGCGTAAGCTGTGGTGACGTCGCAAGTTGGCGGCGGGGCGGCGCGCCATGTGTGACGTGTGGTCGCCCCTTATTTTCGCCTCGCTCGACGCGACGTCGCCGAGCCGCCAAATGCGTTTTTTGCGGCGAAGCGATGCCGTGGAGTCCCAATCGATGACTCGTAATGCTGAAAGAGCTTCGTGTTTTACTATGCTTTGATTGTCATCTAGATTTTGGGCTGTTGGGAGGAGCGGCCAACTTATCGGTCAAGGCAGATGACCATGATGGCTGGCACACGTGTTCTCCTCCACATTGGGTATACATGCGTCAGAGATTGCGTTGGCGGTTCAGAGTCACAGGATGAATATGAGGTTTCAAAAAGTGAGTAGAAGATCAATAATAAAGGACGTGAAGCTCTGAAATGGGACTTTTCCGCCTGGAAAGGCCGTGTCGGTCATGGCCGTAGTTGGTTAGTGAGGAGGGCGGTGATATGTGAATAGCTTCCATCGCACTCCGCCTTCACTCTTGACGTGCCCCGTGGCTTTTGGGGCGCAAAAAAGTCATACGCGCTTTTGAAAATAGTGCGAGGCAAAAAGATTTGCAATCTCGAGTTTACAGTAGTCACCAGGGAGCAGGCTGAACAGATTTGTGATGGTGGCACGTGTGGACGCAAAAGTAGAGTTTTCTCATCGGTCGCGTGACGCGATCGTGGGTGGGTGAGGGGCGATACTCGGTGTAAGTCAAATCGGGCAGGAAAAATGCAGGAAATCCAACAAAAATATCCGCGACCAGATCGTCGACCAAGATAATGAGCCAGTGTGTTTTTTAGATGGAAAAAAGGGTGTTGTGGGTGGTTGTGAGGTGGTGGTGCAAGATGTGCGGATAGCTTCAATTCGGCTTCGCGCGACCGAATCACGAGAGGCCGGAGGACCGGCCGGGGTTGAGCGCGCGATATCCGGGTCCCGACGCGCCGTAAATGCGAAAAAAGAAGCACCAAGCGACGGAGAAAAATTCGAGCAACACGACCATGGCATCAAATTTGGACGAAAGCACAAGTGCAAAGGCGTAGGCCAGATGCGACGGGCGGCATGGTGTTGGATGAGATGGAGCGACGGGCGGCGAAAATGGCAAACTCGGCGAGGGAAAGGAGCTGCAATGCGAGGGAAGTTGGGACCGGACCGGAGGGTTGTGGATCGGCGGATGCAAGGCTCAAAAACGCGATAAATGCGAGCAATGAGTCATTTCTCGTGATGGAGGGTGACCAAACAGGAAAAAGAGGGAAGAGAAGGGGAGAGAGGAAGGGGAAGAGAAGCGGTGGTTGAGGTGGGCGATGAGAATGAGTTGGGTGGGAATGGCGAAGGTGCCGGATCAGACAGCAGCAGCGACAACAGCAGCAGCATTCGCAGAAAGATGGGCGAGCGGCGTGGAGAAGAGAAACTAACTCCAACATCGGCTTCGAGGGAAATTTTGACCAATCAGAAAATTCAACCACAGCAGATAGAGCATTTGATTTAATGCGACAGATGGAAATTTGGGAATGGTACTTGCTGTTTGTACCTTTTCGTGGCCATGGAAAAGAGAGAAAATGGCCATGGCAGTTGCGAATGGGGGGAGGGGGAGAAGGGACGAAGGTGGGAAGGGGGGATGGATGGTGGGAGGGGCCCGGGGCCACGGGGAAGGAAGGCAAGGCCCAAGGCCAGTGCAAGGTGGGCAAGCACTGATCACTGATCTTTGGTAAGTATGATCTGGGACAGGTTCTAGGTGGAGATGGGGGAATGGGAAGGCGTGAAAAAAAAAAAGCCAAGGAAGGATTAGAGGGTGTTTGCGTTTGTTTGGCGGGAACGCAGCCGCGGCAGTGGCCCCCCTGGAGAACCGTAGAAAAGAACCAGAAGGCAATTTAGTGACGGGCAATAAAGGACCCCTGAGGAGCCTTGACAGGACCAGGCAGGCAGCGGGTTCGAACTGATTTCCCTTCATCCACTCTCACGCCATGGATTTACAGGGAGTCGAGCTGCTGAAGGGGGGGTTTGAGAGGGGCCCCATCTAGGGTGTGACAGCAGAGACGACAGAAGCTTCAGAAGCTTCATGCGACGCGTCTAGAGCTTGGATGGATGGATGGGTGGTGGAGGCGGTCGTGGCATGAGCCTTCATCCGTCTTGTCTTGTCTTGTCTTGTCTTGTCTTGGGAGATGTGCTCGTCTGTGCCGTTTCTGTTGCTATGATCTTCATTGCCACACTGGCATGGCATTTCTTCCATCTAGGAGAGATACCGTTTCTGTAAGACCACTCATAACTGTTTGAGCATAGCTGGCAAGATGGCAAGGCAACAAGTAAGCACCGCATGTAGGGAAAGAATCGTAAGCCGTGCTTGCCTTCCGTTATCTCTTCATGACTACACAATACATAGTAGGCAAGCAGCGTCACTGGGCCAAATCTAAAATAAAGGCGCACGTATGTCGATTCCAGCCAGCCAAGCGCCAATCGCCGATTCAAATCAAGACAAGGAAAAGAAGGAGGAGGGAGGAGAAGAGGGGAGCAAAAGAGGAGGTGAAGTCGGGGGGCAGGAGAGAGGGAGTGGGAAGGTGTGTAGGGCAGGAGGGCAAGCACGGAAGCTGGGGCTCTGCCACACCTGCCGCTGCCGCCGCCGCCGCTGCCCATGTTGTTGCTGTTATCAGAGCAGAGGAGTAGGAGCAGGAACAGGAGCAGGTACTGCTGGTATTGGCGTCTTCCCTTCCACCAGAGAACTAGAACCAGACCCAGAGCAAGTGCAAGAACCCTACATGCCTGCACTTGCACCTGCACCTGCACCACCGCCGCTAGCTACCCGACTCGACGAGACCTTGCTAGCTTTGACGGGGCAGGGACCGTCTAAATCCTTCTCAACTGCCACAAGTGTGGGCTGGTGCAGCCCTTTTGGTGTGGTGTGGTAGTGGTGCTGGAAGTGCTGTGGTCACTGGGTGGGTGTAGGGGTGATGGGGGACCGGTCACTAAAAAAACCATACACGCGGGAGAGCACCTTGAGTCTTGGGGTGGGAGGGAGGAGCGGGAGCTTTGCCCAAGACCGCCCTCCCACCAAAAAAGTTACTGATTGCGCACCACGCTCTTCTGTCCCCGCCCATTTATAAAAACAAGCCCCATCCCCTCCACGCACGCGCTCCCTCCCCCCTCTCGTTCCCGATCTCTCTCTCTTGTCTCCCTCAACCAACGCGTCAATTTCTCTCGCAATTTTCGATACTTCGAATTCTTAATCGACTTCAATCGCCCTTTCGATTGCATCCGCAAAACAGCACCCTTTTCCCACGCATCAACCTTTCCCACCACATCAATCACAATGCCTCCCAAGAAGACCGAGGGCGCTGCCGCCGCTCCCAAGAAGGCCTCCCACGCCAGCTACCAGGTTCGTGCCCAATCACCCGGTCTTTTTTGCAAAGTCTCTTCTTTGCTAACCATCTGCAGGACATGATCACCGATGCTATTGTTGCTGTATGTTTTCCAGCTCCTCTCCCTCCGGCGCAAAGGGTTACGCGATCGGGGATCCACGGGTCGCCTGTGCCGGGTCTCACCACCTCCGCACCCCTTCGACTCGTGGGCCTCGATTTGCAGCGCCTACCCTCACCAGGGCGGCAAACCCCTTCTTGAGTATGCATTGATTACTGACGCGTCTTTTCTCATACAGCTCAAGGAGCGCAATGGATCTTCCCGCCAGGCCCTGAAGAAGTACGTCAAGGCCAACAACCAGATCAACGTTGTTAGCGACACCATGTTCGACTCTCTCTTCAACAAGGCCCTCCGTGCCGGTGTCGAGAAGGGTGCCTTTGAGCAGCCCAAGGGTACATTTAACTCTGACCCTCTCTTCATCTCATCCCATTTAACTAACATCATGCAGGCCCCTCTGGTGGCACCAAGCTCGCCAAGAAGGCTCCCAAGAAGGAGGAGAAGAAGACTGAGAAGAAGGCTGCCCCTAAGAAGGCTGCCGAGAAGGAGACCAAGGAGAAGAAGGCTGCCGCTCCCAAGAAGGCCGCCGCCAAGAAGGAGACCAAGGAGCCCAAGGAGAAGAAGGCCGCTGCCCCCAAGAAGGCTGCTGCCGAGAAGGAGACCAAGAAGCCCGCCGCCAAGAAGGCTGTAAGTTTTGACTGACGATCGGTTTTATAACCTCATGTACTAACTTACTATCAGGACAAGGCTGCTGACAAGGAGAAGCCTGCTGCTCTTACCAAGACCAAGACTGGTCGCGTCACCAAGCCCGAGAAGAAGGCTCCCGCCGCCAAGAAGGAGGCCAAGGAGCCGAAGGAGAAGAAGGCTGCTGCCCCCAAGAAGGCTGCCGCTCCTAAGAAGGCCGCGGCTAAGAAGGACTCCAAGAAGGAGGCCAAGTCCGAGACCGCTGCCTCGGCATAAAAGCACTGCAAACCGCGCCGCGCGTCCTTGAACGATGAATCATATCGGGATAGCTGAGGCTTCGCAATGTTTGGTCACGAATCTTTCTTAGCTCCAACAACGGCGTTTACGGGAGTATGTCGATTTCTTGGGACAACAGGTCAAATGGGACCGGGAAGGGTGGTGGGAAACCAACTGGAGAAGGGAAAACGCGACGTCGTTGTGTTTCTTATTTTGCGCGTTGGTTCTGTGTGTTTTTAAACCAGTTGGACTTGCAGAGAGTCCCATCTCGTTTGGACTCGGGATGGTGTGCGTTTTGGGCTGAAAGAAGGGAACACCGGATCGGGATGTGTGTTTGTCATGTTCTTTTTGCGCGCCTGATTTCTTTTACAAAGGCCTTGTTTTTTCGCGTTGCGCGCGCGCGTTGTTTCTGAGACGATCCCCTGGTTGTGTTTTTACATCATGGCCTGGGTCGATTGATCTCTGACGACGAAGCCCTCACCATTGTAACTATAGCTCACGCGATTATACCAACGAAGAGGGCCTTTTCACTGTTCAATTGCGAGCGAGATCTCGATTGTTTCATTCACACCAAGTGCATTTTTGTGTGTGTCCCCTAACATTTCATAACAGCTCTCAGTTTATGATTCTCATATGACGCGACTACGAGAGAAAGAAGAGGATCAGAGAGGCTCGAGCTCACCTGACGGTCTCGAGTGGCGGTCAAGCCGGTGGTCAAGGGTGGGAAGCGCGGACGGAGCAGCCGTATTTTATCCCAAAGTGGCTCGCCATCGTTCACCTTTGCTATTTTATTTCATTTTAACATTGTCACAGGGAAAGGCGACATTTCGTTTGATGTTCACCTGGGTCCGAGCAAATAGACGAAATGAAAGATGAGAATGTCAGAACGGAGAAAAGGAAGGGGGGAAAATAAAATAAAAGGAGAGACGACGGGAGGGCCAAAAAAAAAAAATGGCTGTTTCCACGGCCCCCCCTTCTCTCTCTCTCACTCTCCTTTCTCCCCAAGGGTGAAGAGTTTCGGGGTGGAGTCGACGCGGTTCTTGTTTCCAAGGGTGGTTATGTTTTTTTTTTCCCCCCCTCCTTCTCTCTTGTGTTTACATTCTGGGGGCACCGCCTTACGCCGATTCCTTCTCGTCCTTCGCACCCAAGCTTCCGGCGTGTTTCGGTCAGGCATAGTCACGTGCACCTCCGGGGGAACGGCCGTGAACGGTTTCTCCTCCCTCGTGTCCTTGGCTATTTTGTCTTGTCGGTGACTCTTTTGTTCATTCTCTTTTTTGTTTCTTCCCCCCTTCCCCCCTCTATTAACCATCCATACTTCTAATGTTGCCTACTTTTGCTGGTGTCATTTTTATTTCACATAGTTTTTTTTTTTTTTTTTTTTTTTTTTTTTGGGTGCTATGTGCTTTTTGCTGGCTCGGCTATTTGCTGCTCATGTCTTACCGCCATGCTCGCGACTGCGCTGTGGCCTGACTTGATCCAAGACTAGAACCGGCCGCTGACCTCATTAGACGACATAGATGTTATCGCAACGTCGAGTTTTGTTGACTCGTCAGGCACAGAATGCTGGAATGGACACAACCTACAGAAACAGCGGGCATCAACTTTTGTTTTTATCCCACTCAAGAACCACCCTCACCTCCCCAAGAAAGAAAAAAAAAAAAAAAACTGACAAGTGTGTCATGGTGTGTTTCTCGACGTGAGCTTTCTCACGCTGGATTGGGGTATATGGACTACTCCAAACCGACTCCAAGAAAAACTACGTAGCAACAGATTAGGCGTGGCCCTGCGGCTACCGCGATTTCTAGGCAGGGCAGTTTGACACGTGCGGCGAGCAGACGGTGCCACACCACTAACCGGGTCCGGTCCCATCCTCGCTGATCCTACGGGCTCTGGTCCGAAGACACTGCAGAGCTCTGTGGGCATGAGTGATCACTTGATCATCTGATATGCTACCGAATAAGAGTCGATTGCTTGTGAGTGCCGGTGCTTGGCACAGCAAAGACAGGTGGTGCAGATGGATGGGGATGGAGGTCATCACTACTATCACTTTCAGATCCGAGTCATAGTTAGCTGTTACTGCCTGTGCTCCACAGTTGAGAGTTCCCGGACGTCGGGTCCCTCAAACTAATCTCTCCGGGCGAGAAGATGACGGGCGGGCGGGCGCTCGGAAAAGCCTCAGGTGGCGATGCGGGGAAAGCTTGAACAGAGTGGTGGCCAAGTGAGGCGAGTGAGGTGATGACCACACTGTAACGGGTGTCCAGTGTCGAGCGAAGCCGGGAGCTCTAGGTTGTACAATCTCGCCGCGGTGTTCGGTGAGCCGCTGTCACACCAGTGAGCGCGGTCTTGGGTGCTGGTGCTCTGCAGCAGCTCATCAGTCTGGCGGGGAGCAATGCGCTGCAGCAGCAGTTTGTAGCAGTTTGGGGAGTGAATGTTGCGTGCTGCTGTGCTACAGTAGGCCTGATGTGCAAGGAGTGACGTGGATGGCTAGTTCCGAGCTTGCTTCCCATTGGTGTTCCTGAAACAAACCTTCATGTTTGGAGGGGGGAAGACACAGAGAACTTGCCTTGAATGTCGAGTAAGGTATCGAGTACAAGAGGTACATGCCTCGGTGTCATGTTTGCACGAGGGAGCGTGCTGGGCGACTGTCGTTGCAAGCGCCGACAGCCGAGATATGGGCGCGCCATGGCATTGTTCTCTCTGTGTCTTGTTTCTGGGCGCGCGAGATGATGAAGCAGACATGACAAGACCGATAAGTCGGCCGTCACTGGGCAGGGCGATTCCTTTTCAATGCTTTCCCCCTTGACGAGCGAATCTCCTCCAACCATGTCCCCTACCAGTGTCGATTCCGGGTCGGGATCCCTGTTGTCAATCCGGAACACCACGAGCGACATGTGCAGGGGGCAACCGTACAGTTGGGGGGGAGAGAGCTGGAGTGATGAAGCGAGGGGTCCTTTGGGGGTCCTGAGCGGAAAACGACTGAGGGGTCGTGGGAGGACGGGCCTGCTAACAGCTGGGATGGAGCCTTGAGGAGGGAGAATGGCCGAGGGAGGCTGCCTGTCTGCAAGTCACAGCGCGGCCTATGTGAGGCGACATGGGAGGACAAGCATTGACAGAAGAAGAAATAACGAATGACGAATGGCTGGATGGAGGGTGTATCTTGGATGGACGGTGATAGTTTGGGACTGGTGTGAGTGAGAAGTGGTCGAGCATGAAGAGGGGGGAAGGGAAGCTGCTGCTGACATAGTGACGGCGCCAGGGCAGGTGGTGGTGGTACTGGGGCGCTAGTCAAGATTGGCCTGTGCACTGTTCTTGTTCCTTCCCGTCCGTTTCGGGGTATGTGGGGGAGAAGGGACGCAATGTCATCGCGGAAGGGTAAGAACGAAGAAGAGAGGTACCTACCGAGTAGGGATACGAAGGGGGAAAGGGAAGGTACTTGCGGCCGTCTAGTGATTCTGTGGTTTCCTTGCCTTCCCTTTACCTCCCCGACGGCAGGAACAAGGTCAGCAAACACAAACTGACTGTGCTGAGAAGGTACTTCCCTCCCTCCTGCTCTTTCCCAACGTTGCAGATTGACCGAGCTGCACTGAATCTGGAACTGCAACTGCGACTTCTGCAACTGGCGCGCAGATGCAAAAATATGGAAACCGACCTCTAAAAAGGGACTAAAAAGGGAAGAGGGAAAAACAGAGAAGGAAAGAAATAGTACACTAGGTAGCAGCAGCAGCAGCAGCAAGCACGTCTTGATCCGGAATGTACACTATTACTACACCAACCGACCAGCAGACAGACAGGCACACATAATCGGGCTCCTCTTTTTCATCATCCCCCCCGCCTCAGCGCCAGGTTCTGTCGGTGTCCCCATCAAAAGTGTCGTCAATTCACCACTACTGCTGCGAGCTGGTTCCCAGCACACCTAACCCCCGGCCACCGATAAGCAGATACAGATAGCTGCTGCGACGTTACGCCTGCTTTATTCGTACCTCCATCGCTGTGCCTGAGATTGAGATTGAGAGCGAGCGAGCGAGAGAGGTGTGTGACTGGTCTGTCACTGTTTCTTCTGGGTCGACTATCCCACCAACCGTCACGCCGTTTTGATCGCAAGCCAACCAACCCAACGACTGACGGCCACCACCGCCGAGCACTGCCACTACACCACCAATTTCCACCACCATACACCTTAATACCTCACCTTTTAGCAGACACCACCCAGCAGTTCTATCTCTACCTGTCTACCGGTTGGGTCAAGTCAGTCAGTCCCGTCTGCCTGTTCACGCGCTTTGCAGCATCGTCTATTCCTCGTATCGACCTCGGTAAGCAGTGGAAACGCCCCCCGTTTCCCCGTCTGCTTTGCCAGTCATCCAGTCAACCCCAGAAATCCAAAATCTCCGTATTCTTGCGACTGTCCTGCGTCCCAACCGATCCTTCCGGCCGACTCGACTGACGCCGCCCGCAGCCTCCGAACCCCCTCAGACTATCAATCCAACCCTCCAAGCTCTCCGCTTCTCTCCTCTATCTTCTCATAAATCGAATTCCGTCCTTTACAGGAACGCTTCAAGCACCTCCTCCGTCGCAGCCTACGTCGGCAGCGTCGCTCCCTCTCACTTCGACACTGCCTGTGTCTTTTCCTACGGGACATGGCAATGGCGGCTGCCTAATATTTCCCCTCGATATTCCTGCATTACAAGAAACCCACTCCGCCCGTGCCGACGAACCATTGCCTACCCCAACCATGGCATCCGAACACAACCCATTCCGTCGGAAGAGCGCCTCGACCTCATTGTCATCCTCTACTCCCCAGCCTGTGACAACGTCGGCGTTTCTAGAGTCCATCACATCCGGTATCTCGAGAGATAACATACCCCCGCCTCTCGAAACGCGACCCGCCAAAGCAAAGGTCGTCAAGAGGGTCAGAGTGCTTTCCCCTCCGCCCTCATCCCCTTCGTCTCCCGAGTCGGTACATAGCAGAGGTTTCGGCCGGCAGGACGACACCAGCGACGATGGATCTGACGAAGAGGATGACCAGTTCTCCAAGAGGTTCCCCGAGCTTCCCGGTGACCTTCCCGAGGCTGCGCCGCTGCGTTTGGCGAATGCAAACAATACGCCCGACAACCCTTTTGTGAAAACACTGCAGGACCTGGAGTCACTGACGGATGGGAATCCTTCTTCGTCTTCGAGCGGAGCTGGCGGGGCTGCCAAATCACTGGACGTGAATGCGTTCAAGATGCTATTGCTCACTGGCCAGGCAGGGGCTGGATCGCCGGCTCAGCAAATGTCATCATCACAAGGCGACAAGGCTGTAGAAACGGCACAGTCATTATCGGATGTGTCTCAGGTTGCGGGCCACGGGACGCCCGGTTCCTCACAGGATATGGCGGACCGCGGCATTGCGCTTGCCTCACCAGGGTCCGCGAAGAAGAAACCTCCCCCGCCGAGTTCGAGGCATGGAAGGAAAATTAGCGTCCAGGTGCCAGAACAGCCGCACATCACATCTGAGCATGCCTCGCCAACTTCTCCATCTGATGTCAATAAACCCCTTCCTCCGGCTCCTACCTCTCATGGCGGGGACGGGCCGGAGGATATTTTCGCCCGAGAAGCCGCTGGTAAGGTCCCAGAACTGGACTCCCCCACTCCAACTTCAACACCTACCCCGGCGTCGGGAAAGAAGCCGACACCAGCTCCTCCACCACGACGGGGTCATGCGCGAAGCCAATCCCTGACTGCTTCTGCCGGGGGAAACAACCCGAGTGCTGCCGCTTATGAGGCCGATACACCACCTCGGTCGTCCATGGAATCACAACGGTCACGGTCAGAGAGCTTTCGAGGCGGCATTAATGCGCCCGCACCGCCGCCTCCCCGGCGGCCAAATGCTTCACACCGGCAGTCTTTCCAACTAGCCTCACCATCATCGATTGCATCGTTCAACACTGCCAATTCAACTCCTTCTGATGTTGAGAATCTGCCTGTGGGGAACACTCTTCCGAAAATATCACCTCCTCCGCCGCCGCCTGCGCGGAACCCATCAACACGCCGTCCCCCAAGCGTAAGGAGTTTTGACGCAACAAGCAGAAAAATTAGCGGTGGTAAGGAGAACGCCCCGCCGCCTCCTCCACCCAGACAGCGAGGTAGTAGCCGCGGGAGTATGGACGGATATGGGGTGGTCAGGAGAACAAGTACTGACAGCACGAGGGCTTTCAACACCAACGTGCCAGAGGAACCAGGTCCCGAGGACATCACGCAGGGGGCTGCAGCTGATACAGGTAAAGGAGCAGATATACTTGCTGACTTGGTCGCGTTACAACGGGAGGTAGATGCGTTGAGAGCACGACAGGGCAAGTAAGGAGTATGTTGATAGACGATTGGAGTTGGAATAGAGAGGCTACCCGCCAAGCGGGCTGTCACGCCCTCGTGGGGCAGCTGGTTATCTTAAACTAGGGTTTGTACATTTACGGACGTACCGGGATGCGACATGAGTAATGGAATGGTTATGAGCTGAAGTTCGCTACTTGATGTTTCCGTGCAACAGGTTCCAAGTGGCCGGGTCGGTTTTTGGATCCAAACAACCGTCACAGTCGTGTCTCTCCCAGGTTGAGACCGGAGGCCCGCGAATTGCTTCGGGGTGAATGAACGTCCGAACTGGCCGTAATATGTCTACACGGGGGACCCGACATAGTATTTTTAAGGATATTTCCGGACTAGTTTTCCACATGAGAAAGCAGCATGTGGCATAGTAGCTTTCACTAGCCCCCTTTCGTCTCTGCTTCAATACTTTCCTCAACGGGAACATGGTCTATTTTCAGTAATTCTCTCGACTGACGTTCGGTTTGAGGCATAGCTTCTTGTGGGCGCGGGTGCCGGCGCCGGTGCGCCTTGACCGCTGCCGCTGCCGTGGGCATGGTTGGTGGCGACCTGAGGTGAAGGGTGTCATTGAGTTTCTTTCCGCCATTTCGTGTCCGTAATGGCATTTGTGTGGGCGGAAGTGGGTGTGGCCTCAAGTTGCCGGGGCAAAGTATCGATGAAATTTTGACATGAGACGCGAGTGACATACATGAAAGTATTTGATAATGTCGATAGTTGGCGGTAGTACAGTTGGACTGACGCCGCGGGAGGCTTGGGAAGTTTCGTGCACAGAAACTGTAAAGCTTAAACAACAGCATAAGTCTAGACGGCCAAGCCTGTTTGATCGCCGATGTGACTAAACCAGTCCAGGCGCTAAATGGTGCCCAGGACAGTTTATATACTTCATTACTTGTTTTTAGCTTTTTGCCCTTTGCAAGTCTAACTATCAATGATTCACTACGCACGATGACCATCCCCGAGGACACCCTCCCTCCCGCTAGGTTGAAATAGACTCTTGGAACTGGGATCGCTCGTGGTGCCGAGGGAGGGGATGGGGGTTGCCCGCGTTGGGTTTGGTGGGACGTTTTGACAAGTAAACCCCTCCGAAATGCTCGCCGTTATTGGATTGTCACTTCAGCATCCTAGATCCGACGAGTTCGTTCCTTTCGCTCGTGGTTAAATTGCCACTTTCGTGATGTCTTGGGTATAATCTCCGTAACTTTCACACGATCATTGATACCCGACTATGAAGATGAACTTATCATTAGAAGCTAGGTAGAAGACACTCGTCCTGGCGATAAGATGCATGTACGCCAAGGTGACTACAACCGGGAATATTTCCGAGACGTATCTGGGAGTCGCCAAGATGGAGGTGAACAAAGGATGGCTTGGTGGTAAACCTTGGTTTTCACAGAGTTCAACCCCCGTCGGCGATTATGTTGTTTTCCTAACACCCTAAGGTTAGTCGGCATCGAGCCGAATCCGTTTGTAACGAAGTCTACAATTATGCTTCATTCAGATTCACCCATTGGAAGTGTGTCCGGCGAGATGAGGGGGGTGATGAGCCTTTGGAAGATTCTGTTCAATGGGCGACTATGATTTTGTATAAGAACTGGAGGATGCCACCCTCGTTTGAAGGATGGATCACTACACCTTGAAGTTCTTCAGCTTAGATCGTCTACAAACTGCACAGTTCTCTCTACATCGTTCAATCTACTTCTCTCTCTCAGAATACCATTAAATCACAATGTCTTCCCTCATCACTCCTGTACCAGTTCCCCTGGGCCCCGAGAGCAAAAAGCCTGTTACGACTGCCGCTGCCTCTGCTGCACCGCTCAATGCCGCGGGCGACAAGGCCAACTTGACCAACTTCTGGCGTAACCCAGATGCCGGCAACATCTATCGACATGCGGAGCATCTTACAGGTCCCGTCACCCAGTCTCTTGTCGATCATGCGCGTCTCCGCGAGGCCATTACCGCCGCCGCTGCGAGTTCCAACCCGAACCCGTTGAGGGTGATGGATATGTGCTGCGGTACGGGAGTAGTATCGGGGTGTATCCAGAGAATGTTGAGAGAGATGGGGACTAAGGAGCGCGAGAAGCTAGAGCTGCTAAGTGCGGATAGTAGTGAGGCGCAACTGGGGGTTGTGAAGGATAAGATTGCCAGAGAGGGATGGACTGGAACGGACGTTGCTCAGTGCGATATCATGGTAAGGGTTACAAGTTCCTTTTTAGAAAAGTTACGGCCATGGCTAATATTCGCCACGCAGGACCAATCTTTTCCTACCGGAAGTTTCGATGTCGTTATTTGCGCAATGGCAATCATGCTCATCGCCGATCCATATAAGGCCATGGCTGGTAAGTCTATCTGTCCTCATTCTCATTGCGAACCCGCCAACTGACATTCACAGAATGCTACCGTGTCACCAAACCAGGCGGTACCTTCGCCACGTCAACGTGGGTGATAGAAGGTTGGGTCCCAGATACTCGCGACGCCGTCGCTTCCTTGTCCTTGCCCGGTCAGCAATCTGTCTGCTGGCCTCAGAATTCAGCCGAGCTGACGAACCTTTGGGGCCCCGGGTGTTGGGAATCACCAAGCTTCGTCCGGTCGATGTTCACAGCGGCAGGGTTCGTGGACGTCGAGGTCGAAGTCGTGACGAAGTGGGTCAATTTCCAAAACGCCGACGAGTGGTGTACCGTCTTCCAGGCCTTCATGCACGGCGTTGTTGAGAGATTCTGGACGATGGAGCAAAAAGAGAAGTTGAAGGGAAAGCTGATGCCTACGCTGAGGGCGTTCCTGGAGCGGAAATACCAAGGCGGGCCGTTCAGTGTTGAGAGGACTGTTCTGCTTGCCAGGGGACGCAAGCCTGAGATGTAATTATCCGAGGACGTGGCTGCTCGAGGCTATGTGTTGATTGATAATTAGGCTTCTTTGTGTGGGCAGTTGAAATTTGGTTTTTGCATTGTCCAGATATTACGATGGCTCTGTACCCTGACGAAGGACTCTTCTGGATTACAACATGACAAGGCGCTGTTAAAACTCGTCCTAGGGAGGAAACCATAAAGTGAACCGGCACCCTGCCTTTCGAAACGAATTGAAGGTTCAAGGCCAGCGAAGTGGCAATGCGGCATACATTGATGTCAATGCTGAGTGTTGTATCAATAACAAACTCTTTTTTTTTTGAAGCTGAACCAAGAGACTAAAGACCATTCAAACACACGGATTGGGCCTGACAGTTGTCTGAATTCTCCAGATAAACGCCGTCCTATATTCAATTAGCCCTACCCTTTGCACCGGGATGCCCTGTCTCATTCGGTATCGTCCAATCACACTAGGTAGGGTTCGACCATATGTTCGTGTTCGGTTCTTGAAAGTTTGGAAGGGCCGGTCGCCAACTAAAGTAAGGCTGCGCCCGTGACAGCGTTTCTTCAGCGTCAAGATTCATTTCGTATTGTAACGGGAGAACTTCTCGCGACCTGAAGCTAACTAGGAAACGAACTATCACATCCTAAAGTGCGAGCCTTCGCTCTATTTTTAATGAATTTCAAAATGACACCTAGCGTTTGTGAATAGGGTACCAATTGTGCAAGATCTGGGCAATGCCATTCTTCATAGTTGATACTCTCATAGTTGATTGTGTAAAAACTCCCACCTGCTCCCTTGCAGATTCCCTGCCAGTTATTTAGGTTCAATGATTTACTCAATGTCTTTAAAATACAACCCTACGACTGTCGACCAACGGTAAGGGATAAGCCAAAATCAGCTAACATTGCGAGGGGCGTGTCCGTTAGCTACAACCCTTCGTATTGCGTCACACCACCTTGGAAGTTTTGGAATATCCTGAGCTTTGCAGTTGTGTTGACCTTAATAGCAGTACATTTAAAATTTTAGACCAGTCCCTTGCAGTGTATCTGAACTCATCAATATCTGTGGTGACGACAATGATGTTCTCCCTGCGGCAGCATCAATACCCCTCTATTGCTCACCTTGGCGAAGTTTCGAGTTGACGATTAAGAGTGGGATGCTGTAGCTAAACTTGTTTCTGCGACCTGAACAGTTCGCGACCTTTCTCGTGAGCGAATACCAGGCCAACTCCGGTAAAAAGTACAGGCGGGGTAAGAGATTATTGATGCAACCGGAAAGAGGCTATCACGAGACCTACGCTACTCTTAGTCTCTGCCACACACAATGTTGATCACTTATAGCCCAAGCTTTTTTGTGCAACACAATACTGGATTGCGGTAACTGAAGTCAAATTGTACGAATAACTCCATTTGCAACTCCACAATCCACTCTGCAAATTGATGTTATCTCACTAGAGTAAATACCTGAATCATCAAGCTCACGTATTTCACCACCTTAATCTATTCATGAACCTTCAAACACTGTGGCCCCGTTGTTTCCATCCAGCACATCTTTTGTAGTTAACAACACAACGAGATCAGAGTGTCAAGACTGTTTGTTCCAATTGCCAATCCTGGATGTCAAATGTAGAGCTACAATATTTTTGAGTAATTTAATTTTGCCTGATGCTTCCTCCGGTACGAACTAGGTGTCTTAAAAGGGCATCAGCCGGGCCATGGGTGCCCAAACAGGCTGCTGCGATGCCGCTCCGAGCATCCGAGGTGGATGTTGATTATTGTGGGCCACCGGGATATCGTGCTCGGGGATCGCAGAACCCCGTGGGATACGCGGGTGGGATAGTTTTCAAGAAGCAGGGATAGCCCATTTGGCGAGGTCCAATACAGTACGTGTAAGGGTGGTCGCTATTTGATGAGTGTGTTCTTAAGGACATGGATATTTTAAGCTCCTATTGACAGGTACCGTTTCAAAGAGATTGCTGCAGAACTCTTCGCGCCTGCGTACGACGTAGTACGCAGCGAAATGCTTATCACCGTTGTTATCGCCAAGGCGTCAATATGTTATACTTTCACCATTACGGAGATTATTGTTATGTACTAAAACCGCTTGCTATAGCGTCCGCCGTTACCGTTGAACTTACGATTCCGTGTACGTGTGTGGTCAGTGCCTTGAGCACAATTTGCCATCCAAGGCATTATGCTTTCTTATTCAACCCTTATTATTTATTCTTGATCTCGACCCGAGGGGACCCGAATGAGATTCATGTGAGATGTGGTGATGATTCAGATTGCGTGTTATGGCCCCCATGAAGCTGCAAACGATCTGCGGTTTTGAAGCAGAACTCGGCTCGTAGTTTACTGAGCATCGTCTGCGTGGCTGTCCGGGGTTCAGTGATGTGGTCTTCGGCCCCCCTCACGGATTTCCGAGTGACAACTTGATGCTCGCGATACCTTGGCGACCGAGATTGATAAAGAAAGCCTATGAAACAACTGTGAGGGAGGAATGCAAGCACCTCAGCCGCAGGTGGTCTGCCGCAAACGGCTACCGCAACCGACCAGACACCGGCAATGGTGCATCTGAGACAAAGATCTGGACTGTCTAGACCGGGCCGTTCTGGAGCGCCACCATTCCTCCTCGCCGGAGCCTCAATGCCCGTTCCTTGTCGATCAATTTGGGTGGTAATATAAAATTACTATACTTGAGTTGCGGTGGTTACCAAATGCACTGAGTCGAGAAACTCGGAGCGTTCCCCACCGAAGACCACCTTTCAATTCCTCATAATCAAGCAAATACCGAGCAGCGCGCCTGGAAAACCTCCTCTCCTCAGGATTCATCGCATCTTCACACACTCATTATTTCAGCTTTCTTTTCCCTACCTTCTTTTCGTTTAAACAGTCACTCCTTCAACATGAAAGCCGCTTTGGCTATTCTTTTGGCGCCGCTGGCCGCCCTCGCCACGCCACTGGGTATCGCGCCCAATAACATTGAATCTCGCTCAAACGGAATTATAAAGCGACAAGCATCCGTCAGCATTGACCAGCTCTACAAGAAGAGAGGTGGGCTCTACATTGGTGTCTCCGGCGACAATGGTATTATGCAGCAAGGGAAGACGGAGGCTATTATAAAGGCAAACTTTGGTCAAGTTACACCGGAATACTCCATGAAGTGGGAGGCTACGGAACCCACCCGAGGCAACTTCACGTGGGGCAATTCCGACTATCTCGTTAAGTGGGCGCAAGCCAACGGTAAATCTATTCGCGGCCATACGTTGTTATGGCATACTGCGTTGCCGACATGGGTTTCGGATATCAAGGACAGAAACGTCCTCTCTTCGGTTCTGCAGAAGCACATCAAGGCCGTTGTTGGGCGTTACAAGGGCAAGATTAGGTCTTGGGTGAGTGTTTTCCCTGGCAAAACGCTAGCCTGGCATTGCTAACCAAACCGATGTGCAAGGACGTTGTCAATGAAATCTTCAACGACAACGGGTCGCTCCGTAACAATACTTTCTTTAATGTCATGGGTGAATCCTACGTGGGCGTTGCTTTCCGCGCGGCTAGGGCTGCTGACCCGGCTGCCAAGCTCTATATCAATGATTACAATCTGGACAACAAAGACTGGGGAAAGATTCCCGCGTTGGTCAACAAGGTTAATCAGTGGATCTCACAGGGTATTCCCATTGATGGGATTGGTACGCTTTCGTCCTCACAAATAGGATATGCATCATCGGCTAAACATTTGGAACAGGATCTCAATGCCATCTGGCCGCAAACATGTCGAGCAATATCGAAGGAGCACTCAAGGCCCTGGCGGCCGCTCGTGTTTCTGAGATTGCCATCACTGAGCTCGACATTAGAAACGGCCCGCCGGCTGATTGGGCAACCGTTGTTGGCGCGTGCCTCAACGTGCCAAAATGCCGCGGTATCACAGTTTGGGGAGTGAGCGACAAGGTGAGAAAAAGGCGATAATTCATGCTCGTTGACATCCAACTGACTCTTGATAGCAATCTTGGCAAAGTGAAGTAAAGCCGCTTCTCTTCGACGAGAACTTTGAGCCTAAGCCGGTATACACTGCTATTGTGAACAAGCTGAAGAAGTGGTGAAGAGGTTGGAAATGTTCACTTTGGACGAAATGTTATTATTTCTAGCCTGTGCCATCTCAATATTTCACTCTACCTAGGTAGCGAAAGCGTCTCGAACTTATTGATAGCCTTTGTGTTCTGATAGACACGTCTTTAATTCAAGTACTACAAACACTGCCTGAAATCATCACAGATGATAGTGAGAGGGAAATCTTGGGAAACTATCTGTCATTCAATGTTCAGTATTCTGGTTCATGCATCGCTACCTTATTCATGGCTGACTATTAATGGCCTTGGATGTAAAGGTAAGTAAGTACATTGGTGGGCTTGAGAAAAACAAGATTCTTTTAAGACCATTTTTGAAATGTTTGTGTAAACAGGATGTTGAGGTTTCCACATGTCAAATAGAAGGCGGAAATGTGATCATTCAAGTTTGGGAGTACAGACCACCATAGTCCATGACAACAAGAGCAGTAAGAACGCTCGATGACGAAGATAGACAGCGGACGCCTAAGGCTGAATAGAGAGCAGAATGAGAAGTGATGGTGAAGTTATGGCATTGACAAGACAATCAAAATAAATGTAGATGACGTGAAAAGTAGTGAACGGAAAGTTGGGCTGCCTATCATTATTGCCACAGCCCCTTCGTTCATATTTGCTGTATTATATTCTAGCCTATTATCAATGCTCATCCTATTTGAATTTAGGGCTTGTCAGCCGGATCCAATGGCTTTTTCCCCTCCTTTTCCACGTTTGCCCTCTTCTGTGCCGCTGGGGCGTTCGGGTCATTCTTCATATTCTCCTGGCTAGGCTGCGGCTCCTCCTGCAATCCAATCTTATCATTTTCGGGGTTGCTGACGGGCTTCGCCAATGAGGCTGAGTCGGGGCTGTTTTCAGAATCGAGACCACGGGCTTTGTTAACGGTCTGGCTTTCAGGATCGGAGGAGATCGGCTCGCGGACGTTTGATGAGGCACCCGGGGAGGCTTGCTTAGTTGCAACTGAGCGGCTAATTAGGCGGTTTGCGGACACTGGGAGTGGCTGTTAGTGATGAATTGGAACCATGGATTGATACTATCTGTGAAGAAATACTGACAAGGTCTTGCGGTACGCCCTACGGCTGCGCGGAAGGCCTGGCGGTAAAGTGCTGATGACATGATGTTGGTTTGAGATTTTGCTAGTAAGTATTGGCGATGAGATACTTTTTCTCTGTAATGGGACGGGTTGGAAATCTAAGTACGGGTCTGAGGATTTTATTGATGATGATACCGATGTGTGTCGCAGGTTTGACGTCACGTTGTCAATAAACGTCATCATAGAATCACAGTTGAGCTATCCGACAGCCTTAAGCTAACCCCTGTCTGGAAAGCAAGTAGAAACATGCAGGCACACTCAAATAGCATAATTAATGCTCTGAATATATTTGGAGAAATAAAAGCGCGCGTTTCTGGCGTTTCTGAGCAATACACTACCTTGTATTCTATCCGCCTAAAGGTGCCAGGCCAACCGATGTATCGAGAGTAAAACTCTTTCTATCATTCTTAATTTATTTTTGCCATCTTAGGTGAAAAAATATTATATTTCTCTCAACTTCAAGCTTATCCTTGCTCTGCACAACCGCTAGGAAACGCAAACTGAAGTCACAAATCTGTTATTCACCATTGTCTGTGGCAGGTAACACTGTAGTGCTAACAGTCACACCGCCTAAACCATGGTACAATGAAAGTGAAATTCATTAAGAAGGTTTAGCAGGATTTTGGCGTCTCCTGTATTGGATGAGCTGAGGAATCTACACTTCAGTTTTCAGTTATGCTAATGTTCCCAAGGTTCCTCTTCTCAAACCAGAGTAGACCAAAAACTCCTTGTGGAAGTGCTATTAGTTATTGCACAGAATTTCTCAATCAAAAAAGTAGTTTGTAAACAAAATGATGTCCGGCTCAGATTCAACGGCACTATCGTCATAGGTACTTCTAACAAAAGAGTGAAAAGAACATGGAATGCCAAGGCCCAGTTTTGGCCTCAGTGTCCTCAAACTTGGCCTCGCCCACTGTCGCCCGTTATGACATGTGAGGTTTTCCAGGAAATCGATGCCATGAGAATCTGAGAAGTAATCATTCTGTGAGTACACAAAGTTGCGCTTGTGTTTCGTTGACGAGCACATGAAAATAGGCATTTCCGTAGTTACATCAGTAGTAGTAGAACCTGTGTTCAGGCCCGTTCAGCATACATGGGCTGTAGGCACGACATTTACATCAAATCTGCACCAGAACAGTAGTTTTTAGAGTAGTAAATGGGGTGTCATTAACAAATGGAGGTTATGGTGCGTCAGCTATCATGTCGATATTGAAAATTGGCCGTCCGAGAAAGATGCTCCCTGATGTTTCCCTTGCTATGCTGAAAGCTGGTGCAAGGGTATGACGAGGGCCATCTCGGTACCCAAAAATGACCCTTGGTCGATCCTGGTCCCAAGCCTTGCTGACATCAGAGCTTGCCTGCCTCAGGTTTCTTGTCTTTCCCTTATAAATCTAAATTAAGCTGAAATATTCTGCCTACGGGCATTTGGTCAATTTGAAACGATACAGAGAAGATGTAAGTTACCACCTGGAGACCATAAGTTCGAATTTGGGTCAGATCACTAACAACCTTCTAGTAGCATGGCCCCTGCACTAAGGATGACACGCTCAATCAAAGAGACGCTACCAATTTTTTTCCTCTTTCCATTTTCCCAAGTTTTTCATGGTCTATTATGTGTAGGAGATCTCATCTGTGAAGTATGAGCCTTTCTCCTCGCTAATCTCTGGCACATTCATACGTCGGCCAAGTTTGTTGTTAGACCATCACCAAATATTTCGGCTTTCATGTCATTAGTCGCAAGCCAGTCGCCACAGCAGTTATGCAGGGCGCGCAACCAGGTCCGATGAGGCCTGCGAAGATAGTTGCGCAAATAGGACCCTACATCGGCTAATGGTCTTGGTTAGCCCAAAAGTAAGTAAGGATCCGAGAGAAAAACTTGCCACCAGACTTTGAAAACACATCTGTCTTGCGTTCTAAGTTCAGCAGGCTCGTCCAATAGCTTCCCACGCGGTGTGCAAGCTGACCGGTCCACCAAGCATTGCTGAGATGATTCGTCCATAATCAACGGACCAGCAAAGGAAGTCGCTGGTTGGTTTATGAAAACTGCTTGCTATGTGAATTCATCTTGAATCGTGTTTCTTCCCTAGATGGCAAAACTGACGCTGACCACGCACCCAACGGCGGCATATTTGACCAAGGTAGGCACTGGAAGCACTCAGTGTCGAGGAATGCGGGGTCTCAGTAGCTCCGCTTACAAGGACTCCTCCGTATTACCTTGATCCCTGACTAGAGCTGCAGGTGATGTAGGCCAGGGTCGGCTTCATTCCCTCGGCCATCCATCGGACGACTGCGTTACTCCTCACCTGAAGAAGAAGTCAGTCAACCTCAAAGCCCCTCCTGCTTTGTTTCGTCCTGATCCGGTACTGAATCAGGGCAGCCCATAAACTCCATCATTTCATCCTGTCAACGCGAACGATTTCAAGCACATTGAATGGAACACATCATCATTGACTATCGCTGTGGACGTGATAACCCCCCATGAACACGACCGCGCAAGATAACGTTACACTTGGTCCGACAGTGACTGTGCCATCGGAGACAGTTCCGGGGAAAAAGCCGCCTAAGAAACGCATCCGAAACTTTACAGCTGACGACCGAGCTGCGCACCGAATCTTTGAGAAGGGTCGTCGCGAGGCCTTCAAAGAGCGGTTGATTGTATGTTTTCTGTGCCCCAGATGTATGGTACGAAGGTAGCTAACTTTGGCCTTTCACAGGAACTCGCCGGCCAGCTCCCTGCCCTTGCAGATGCGGACCCCCAACGCTTGTCGAAACATGTCGTGATCGACGAGAGCATCGCGCGCCACAAACTTTTGGAAAGTCGATGTGTCGGGGCACTGCGAGGCATCCAGTCATTGATTCAAGAGCGTGATGAGTTGCTGGCCGAGGTGAATAACTGGAGAAGTTCTACCGGTACCTCTTTGCGGCAGCCTAGACCTATCGTCATCAACGTCGATGGCCTTATAGAAACCGAAAAGGATACCCAGCGTCGCGCATCTGCCGTGCGTGTAAGCCAAAGCCAAACTACAAGAAGAAGCTCCGAACAGTCTGGAGGCCCTTCTGAGGAGGCGTTCCAAGCCGCAGTACCGACCGAGTGGGACCAGCCGGATGAAACGGCACATATACCTCGAGTCCTCCCGTCAGAGCCTATCCAAGATGTATCTGCTGCCTCTGAACTTAATGGCCTCTTAATTGACTCCTCCTGGCCACAAGTCACGCAGGACCGGCCGGTCACGTTTTCTGTAGAACCAGCCATGGAAGCCTTGGCTCTCCCGGGTCAACAATCAATGCAATCCGATGCCCATTCGGACCTTTTGCCTGCTTCTAAACCGGGCGTGAACAATTACCAACTACTGGAAAATATCAATACCCAGCAAGACTTGTACCGAGATATTCAATCCATGGAGTATACTGCTACGAATATGTCATTCGAGACATCCCATGTACCACCCTCCCCAAGCTATTTGAGTTCAGTCGCTATACAACAAAGCATGCCCTTTCAACATCAGCAGCAATGGGTTCCATGGCCTGGATGACTTCTTCTTGGTCTACGCTCATGTTCTACTGTGTATTGGGATGGCATGGTGTAGTGGCAACCTATATCTGTTGCAAGACCTCCTCCACCTTGGCCTTGCTTCTCTCTTCGCCACCGATGAAGAGTTTGAGTGCGTCCGCCAGACGGGTCGTCGAAACCGGGTCGGCCTGAATTGCTTTCTGCAACTCTGCGCCTCCATTGGCGAGGTAGTCGATGTCGGTGCTTGCCAGCTTGCCGTCCCATTCGGCCGCCGCCAAAGGGTCGATGTTTACGAGCTTTTTCAAACGCTCGGGGACCGGTTTGGCTTCCTTGTACACATTTACGGGTTTTGGGGTACCCTCACCAGGTTGCTTAGTGCCGTCGTACTCCAGCTTCGCAAGTTGGTCAAGCACTGTGTGTGAAATGGTTGCTGAGTGACAGCCCATTTCGCCTGCTGCCATGGCCTCCTTGGCCGAGATGAAACTGGCGTTCTTCACAAGAGGCTGTTCTTTCCCAGTTTCCTTGTACAGTCGCTTGTATGTTTCGATGATCTGGACAATGCGTGCTGACATGGGATGTTCTGTCGCGGGGTCCTCGACATTGGGCCAGAGAGTGTCAGGCTCGTCGTGAGCTCGTACCTCTTACCCTGCAGTCAGCTTCGTCTCTTGCACAAAGGCTTGAATGCACTTACCGTTGTAATAAGGGCTAATATAAAGCATTCCAGCCTGGCTGCAAGCGATAGCCTGAGGAAGGCTGAACAGCGCCGTGCCAAGAGTTGGGATGCCCTCCGAGGAAAGAATCTTCGCGGCGTTGAGTGCAGGTCCAGTCGAGGGGATTTTGATACAGTATCTGTCACGCCCAATACCCGCTCGCGCGAATTCCTGATCGTAAAGACGTGCGTGATCTAACGTCTCCTTTGTTTTGTACGCGTTCGAGGGAAGTGTTTGAAGCAGGACCCGGCCTTGGATAGATCCTATGTTCTTCTTGCACATGAGGACAGCCTATGATGCCTATTGTCAGCCAAAGACCCAATTATTTGAGTAGCTTGGAATTTTCGCACCATGCGGGTGTAGATGGCGAGCCAACCTTGATTTTTCAACTCTTTGGCGGTCTCAAGCAACAACTCCTTATTCGAAGGGTGTCCAAGCTGAATGTCAACCCATAACTGGTTGCTCGTCTGGTCATGAGGCACAATCGGCATGTTCCTGATGTACTCAGGATCCATCCAGTCGACGTCGACATTAACTACTTCGGTTAGCCACGAAACCCAAGTTTGTCTCACTTCAGACACTCACGCTCCTCTTCGAGTTTATCGAGCCACGTTATGTTGCCTTTGCTTCCCATGGTGTCTGATTTGTACAATTGAGCCTGGTAAATTATGCCGGTATTTTCAGTTGTATGCTGGAGATTGGCTACAAAGATCATTTCAATACTTACTTACTAGCTGCTTTAATACTATCGATTCTCTAAGTGGTTTGATTCTATTCATACTTGCATCAGGATGAACTATGATGCCCTGCGTGTGTCACTTATCCCACCGCCGTTATCTGGGCCTTGATGGTTCCATTCTTAGGCTCGTATGACCAATAGTAATATTTGCCTAGAATCATCTCATGATGCCACACACAGGGCCACATAAAGCACACACGCAGGGCATCGCGAACCCCGCACCTCCGGATGTATATCCCAGTCCGTCGTCTGATTGCGTCTGCAGGTTGGTGGGGGTCAAGAGGATCCTCTGGGGTAAATGCCTCCGGATACAATCACATTGTTTCCCCGGGAGTCGGTCTCCACAGCTGATGAGTGATGCTACACTAGTTCTAGCTCCTCGAATTTCTTCTCACTCTCTTTTTGTATTATAGGAAATATCTTAAGGTGAGAAACTGCGAGCAAGGCCACTGTATGTTGGCAGGCTTAATGTATGTATATTTACTTAGCCTATGAAGCTTCTTACTTTTCGTGCAAAACCCGGCGCCCGGGCAAGCCAGGCAAAGACATTCAGTTCTAAGTACAGAGGAAGAATCTCACACAGTAAAAACAGCGGTTCAAGGAAACCCCCCAGTTTGCCCTGCACAGGGCAGACAACTAGCGCGTCTAAGTCTCACTTCAGTCTAGCCGGTTTGTGGACACACACAGGGCAGCCCCGCACTTCTCCAGACGTCATGCAACCATCGACGCGGAGGCTGCCCTGTGCAGGGCGCTGCGGCAGCAAGTTTATGTCACGGGAGAAGGTTGAAAGAATCATAACAGCCGTTCAACAGCCGACTGATGTTGATTAGCCTGACACTGGTGACGAACACTATGTAAAATCTTAATCAGCCCTAATTGCGGAAGGAGGGGTGGTAAGGATGCTTTTAGTTAAGTTAGTGTGGGTTATATAAGATGCCGAGATGCTTTGACTTCATCGTGCGATCTGGTCAATCGTTACCAACAGTCTTTTTTTCGATGGTTTCTTTCAACAACATATAATCTCAACTGTGCTATCATGTCTCGGGTATCTGACATTGAGGGAGATGCCAAGGCTAAGCTTGATGTTCGCCACGTCGAGCACAGCAATACTGACTACAACAGGAACATCAATGCAAAGTACGGAAGCATCCATCGCCGAGCCTACGTAATACTGATTGGAGTATAGGATTCGCAACCCGCTCATTGGGATCTCCAGGTCAGACCTTCAAGTCCAGGTTGCAGGCTTCTGTCATGAGTTCGGGTTCGCAGGTCAAGAGGAGGTCTTCTATCGCGGCGCTCTCGCAGCTCAAAACCCCGAGACTTACGAATCAATAGAGGAACTGACCGAAGACGACAAGAATACTCTCCGTCGTGAAGTCACGCATAAATGGCACCTCCCGAAGGATCTTTATTACAGCATAGCTCTCTGCTCCCTTGGTTCCGCCATTCAGGGTTGGGATAACACAGGAGCTAATGGCGCCAATTTATCTTTCCCTCAAGAATTTGGAATTGAGAACAACCAAGCTCTTGTTGGTGTAATCAATGCAGGGCCCACGCTATTTGGCTTGCTGAGTGCATGGGCTGCGGATCCTATCAATAATTACCTTGGCCGCCGAGGCACCATCTTTCTTACTGGCCTTTTCTGCGTCTTTCCTGTGCTTGCTCAGGCTTTCACTCAGAATTGGTGGGGTTTGATGATCTGCCGACTTTTCATGGGACTGGGCATGGGCGTTAAAATATCGACTATTCCTGTGTACTCCGCGGAAGTAGCCCCTGCCACGGTCCGAGGAGGCATAGTCACGAGCTTTCAGCTGTGGGTGGCGTTTGGCATTTTGGTTGGATTCTGTTCCAACTTGATTTGGTATCGCATTGGTGATCTTGCATGGCGGTTCCAGCTTGCTGCTGCCTTTGCTCCGGCCATACCAGTCCTGATTTTTGTGTGGTCATGTCCAGGTAAGAAAAACCTTGAGTAAAGGCAACAGAGCCATAATTATTCACTCCAAGGCAGAGTCACCGCGATGGCTTATGAAAAAGGGCCGATACCAAGAATCATTCAAGTCCTTTTGTCGAATCCGAAATACCGAAATGATGGCTGCTCGAGACCTGTATTATGCTCATCGACAGGTAATCGAAGAGCATAACGCTTTCGGTGGCCAAACTCTCATGCGCCGGATGACAGAACTCCTTACTGTTCCTCGCTTGCGCAGGGCAACACTTGCTTCTTCTTGGATCGTGATCTCGCAGCAGTTCTCAGGTATCTACGGCGTACCCTTTCGCTTCAAAGAGCTGTGGATAACGCGCTACAGGTATCAATATCATGGCTTTTTACTCGTCGACAATTTTTCAGCAAGCAGGATACTCAGCCAAAGATTGTCTACTAGCGTCAATGGGCTTCGGGTTAATCATGTTCATCTTCGCTTTCCCGGCGGTTTACATGATGGACACTTTCGGTCGCAGAAACCTCTTGCTCATCACTTTTCCAAACATGGCTTGGTGCTTGCTAGCAGCTGGGTTGAGTTTCATGATGGATGCACAGTCGAGCGCTAGAGTGCCACTGATTGCCTTTTTCATCTATCTTTTCACGGCCATGTACGGACCTGGTAAGTAAAGTGATAATCCAGTGTTATCAACCCCCTCTAAACTTCACAGGTATCGGACCTTTGCCATCAATTTACTTCTCGGAAGCATTCCCCTTGTCTCACCGCGAAATCGGCTCGGCGTTTACCATTTGCGTCAACAATGCAATTGGAAGCGCTCTCACACTGTCGTTCCCCGAACTTTTGCACAGGATCGGGCCGACCGGGGCGTTCGGCTTTTATGCAGGCTTAAATCTGTTTGCTTTCATCGTGATTTTCTTCATTATTCCAGAGACCAAGTAAGTTGAAAAGAACCCCCGAAGAACCCCAAGTCTGACTTTTTCCTAAGGCAACGGACACTGGAAGAACTTGACTATATCTTTGGGGTCCCCACGCGTAGGCATGCAGCGTATCAAATTCGCACGTGGCTTCCTTGGTTTATTAGAAGATATGTGTTTTTCGAAAAGAGTGCTCAGCTTGAGCCCCTTTACCATCTGGAGTGACGTCGGAATCTTCAAAATGTTCACGAAGTTTGGTAGAGCCGATGCATAAGAATAATATTTGCTAGCTATGTTTTGACGCAAGGGTCCCCAGATCACCCGCCGCCTCAAGGTCGCGCGACTTGCGTGTCTTCAAGTTTCTCGAGACATAACGTCCCGCACCCACATTTAGGCACCCCCCACATTTAGGCACCCCAAAAATCGCTCAACACCATAACTACCCCTCAACTTCAATTATTTACTACTTTTTTAACTTTTTACTAATTATAATCTAACTTTATATGCTTATTATTTATACTTACATACGCTAATATACCGAAGATGACTTGCTTAAGGCACTTAAGGCTATTACTAGCGGCTGTAGTATAAAAAAAGCAGCTTATGATAAGGGCATACTACGAACTATACTATAAAACAGAATAAAAGGTTACTAAACAAGAGGTGTTGCTTTCGCTAGGTTACAGAGGCTATTACCAACCTAGGAAAGTCACTTAGCTAAATAGATTCGAATACAAGCTACCCTAGGCCTTCTACCAACCCATCAACAGCTTAAGGATTTTGCTAAGAGGATTCTATAGACACGTAGAGACTTCCAGCCTCTCGGAAGAAACTAGGTTTAATCATTTATCAAGAGAAATCCATCAATCAAGGTTCATAGAAGCAGAGCAATTGATTCTAAGCGTGTCAATAGTGCCTCAACTAATATAATTAGGGAATAGTTCAAGCATCTCGCTCTACCTAAGATACAGGCAATCAAAGCAAGCAATCGATATAATATGGATGAAACAGGTATTCTAGAAGGCAGAGGATCAAATAGATTAGTTCTTAGATCATTAGAAACTCGCTCTATTCGAAAGAAACAGCCTAGGTCTCAGGCTTAGACATCTCTGATTAAGTATATCTCTACAACTAGCAAGGCACTGCCTCTACTTATAATATATAAGGGGAAGACTATTTAATAATAGTAGTTTCCTCTCGATTTAACTAAATATGATAGCTAGAAGTTCATAGCAATAGAAAATAACTAGACGTCGGATTCTACTACTATTAAATAGCTACAGAAGGTCTTCATACCATTGACCCAACCCCAAGACCCTAAAGAGTCTAGATTACTCATTCTTGATGGGCATGGTAGCCATGAAACAACAGAATTCATGTATATCTGCTTTAAGAATAAGATACTCTTACTCTTCCTACCGCTATATACATCCCACGTTCTTCAGCCGCTTGATCAGTCAGTATTTGGGCCGCTGAAAGCCATATATAAGAAAGAGCTTCTATACCTAGATCAATGGGACGCTAGCACTATTATAGGCAAGAGAAACTTTCTCCTCTGCTATGGAAAAGCACGCTATATAGCATTTATAAGCAAGAATATTATTAGCGGTTGGAAATATATAGGTCTATAGCCTATAAGCATAGCCAAACCGCTAATAAGCCTTCTTCTACTTAGGAACCTATCAATACTAGCTAGACAGACCGATCAGCCTTATAAGGGACTGTCTAATGCTATAGCAGGCGAAAAAAGTATTAGAGACATTAGCAGTATGCTAGTTAACGCTAACGAAGCGGTCTAAGCTATAGGATAATTTAACTTATATAATAAGGTTAGGCATGATCGAAATACTTAACGACTGCTCTTTCGCAAGGTTCAAAAGGGATTTGATAAACAGAGCTATAAACTAGCTATAGCTTAGTAAAAGATTAAGGTGCTAGAAGCAGAAGTTAAGGCATCTAGGGCTAGGAAGTAGAAGAAGGTTATAATAAGCCTAAATTCGAAGTTTGCTAACATTAAAGCTATTCGGAAGGCTTAAATTAAAGTAGGCGAAATTAAGGATAGCTTAGATAAATCTAGTAAGTCTGATTTACTTATTCTTAAGGGAAATAGTATTGTTATAGCAATAGAAATATAATTAATGGCTAAAGTTGATATATAGTAAAATGCATTATGATTCTTAAGGTGCCTAAATATAGGGGGTGCCTAAATATAGGTACGGGACGTTATTAACTATAAAACCAAGCTATTTCGTATAGCATTATAACTAAAATCCTATTAGATTCTTCCTAATTAACGTGTTTTAACATAATCTATCTATAAGATATCTTTAGACTTATAGTCAAAGTATAAGGAAAGCTATTAGTATTTTAGTAAAATTATAACTAACGCTTCCTACGGTTTAACTAGTAAGGCAGAACTTATAGTCGACTGCCGAATACTAGCTAACACTATTCCTTGTCTAAACTATACTACTATACTTTTAAATACGGCAAGTAGTAGCTATAATAGAGGAGTAACCTAAGATAATAGATAGAAGGAGTAAGTTATTAAGCTATATAGTAGATAATAGTTAGGTTAATATTAAATAGAAGGCGAGAGGTAGTAAAAGTAAAGTAACTTAGGAAGAAATCTAACTTAAGCTATAGAAAACGTATAGATTAACGTCCCGCACCTATATTTAGGCACCCCTATATTTAGGCACCCTAAAAATCATAATGCATTTTACTATATATTAACTTTAGCTATATTATATTTTATTTATTACTATAATAATACTATTCCCTTAAGAGTAGGTAAATTAGACTTACTAGATTTATCTAAGCTATCCTTAATTTCGCTTACTTAATTTAAGCCTTCCGAATAGCTTAATGTTAGCAAACTTCGAATTTAGGCTTATTATAACCTTCTTCTACTTCCTAGCCCTAGATGCCTTAACTTCTGCTTCTAGCACCTTAATCTTTTACTAAGCTATAGCTAGTTTATAGCTCTGTTTATCAAATCCCTTTTGAACCTTGCGAAAAAGCAGTCGTTGAGTATTTCGATCATGCCTAACCTTGTTATATAAGTTGAATTGATCCTGTAGCTTAGACCGCTTCGTTAGCGTTGACTAGTATACTGCTAATGTCTCTGATGCCTATTTTTCGCCTGCTATAGCATTAGACAGTCCCTTATAAGGCTGATCGGTCTGTCTAGCTAG